TCTAAAAAGAAGTGCTGTTATCTACCATGAGGTCCGAGTAGGCGACACGGAAGGAGAGCTGTAGCGCTAGCGGAAGTTGAACTCGTCCAGTTGGGATGAGGGTTAGTTGGAAATGATTCACCTTCAATAAAAAAAACATAACACTTGGGAAACGTAAGAGTGAAAGCACAACACTGATGAGCAGCAAAAAAAGAAGAAGTATGCGACAAGACCCTACATTTTTTATATAAAAACCTTCCTTCCCCGTTCTCCCACACAATGTCCGAGCTGAGTTGGCTCCCCGTTGCTCCTGTGTGTTGGACCACGTCGGTAGCGTAGCGCCGCGACACTGCGGTGTCAGGTGGCTGACGGTGGACCGATGTCGGGCCGACGCCGACGCGCGGTCAGCGTCCACAGCTGTCCACTGACGGCCCGTTACCGCTCCGAACGGCGAGTAACGGCGCGCCGGCGACCAAAACGACGCGGTCCGCGCGCCGCCGCCGCCGCAGACGACAGATGACGCGCCGCGCCGCGCGTGATGAAGACGTTATAACTGGTTCACGAGCGGTTTTCCAGTTGTAGCAGTGCACTGCTACGGTGACTTACGCCACTGCAGTGGCGTAAGTCACCGGCCCAACAGTAAATGATAATATTCTTAATATAATATTTTATCTATTTATCGAAAATCAAAAATTAATAAGTGCGTTTTACGATACCTAAGCTTACTTGTGACTTATCACATGACTAACGAGCGCCCTCATAATCTCCGACGGATAAGCCAGCGCCTGACCGCTGCCGCTGGGACAGTAGGTCATCGGTGTCGCTTCACCGGGCGCAGAGAGCACCACGGGGTCACGAGTCTCGCAGCCTCTGAGGAGCCCATTTCTTCCCCGTACCACCCCGTCCCGGGACCGTACCAGGGGACGCAGAGCGGTGACCCAGAACGGTGCAACCCAACCGGACGTCATCTTCATAAGCCCGAGATACTGGCTGATTCCTGATTTGCATAAGCCGATAATGGTATTCGTTTATCTGCCTGTCTCGTGTGTTGACTTCATGTTTGTTGCTTTTCATTATTTGTGTTTAGTGGAGTGGAGGCGGCAGGCGAATCCAAGCGGTATGACGGCATGAATCCCAGTTTAATGTCCGTCTTTTCTGTCGTCCTCGCTAAGTGCTCTAATGCACAACTGGAAGCGTCCCCGCACTTCGTCAGAACAGCCTCGGTGAAAGCTTTAATCAGACGTCGCCGCGTCTTTTACAGTCAGATTCAATTTAGGGACGGTGTGCGTCGTTATCCTCTCACGGTACCGACGCACTGTCTGTTTTACAGTTTTGTTTACGCCGCCGCAGCATGTGACGACTCAACCCCGCGGCAGCGAGCCTGTGGTGCTGGTATGCGATGTGCTCACTATTCTGACAAGCATCCGTCCCTCTCTGTCTGCCGCAGGAGACAATGTTGACTGCTGGATGGAGATCCAGGATGGCAAAGGACCCTGGGCCAGCCCTGTGACCGGCATTGTGCCGCTAGGATCCACACTGACCATGGTTGTGGCTATCAATGATCCAAACGGTAAGACGAACTGAGATGAATGTGGAATCTCATACGTGGGCTGTGAGGCAGAGGAGTGTGGGGAGTCCGGGGAATGCGTTGGCGTCTAATGTATAGCGTGCGTTGAGCTCATCGTGAAAAGCCATCTCGGTTAATTGGAGAAGATCATGTTTGCTTTGAAGCCCAGGAGGTCGTAAGTTAATGTGATTGTTTTGAAGCGGAGGTTATTACGGGTCAGTTTCAATTGTCGTAGAGGGAGTTGGAACGGTTGAACGTTGATGTGAGTCGGCTATTATTGATGTTACGTCACGGTATATGGGCACATGATTTCCCTCAGACATTCGTCAATGGTAAACGTGAACACTCAACCGTAAATTAAATCATCAATAGGCGATCGTTCAGCCTGCATCAGATCTGGTGCATGGAACATCGTGCACCCCACATTACAGTTTTATTAGCTCTAGTTCTACCATCTAACGCCAACCTTTCTCCGCAGCCGAGTTCGACATGCGAGTGAAGGAGTGTGAGGCCTCTGACGGGAAGGGTCGTCCCATCTACCTCTCTGACGAGAACGGCTGCGTGCTGCGCCCAAAGATGATCAGCAAGTTCATGAAACTACGCAGCAACGACGGCCGATCCACAGTCATCACGTACGCCCACTTCCACGCCTTCAAGTTCCCCGACAGCATGTACGTCCACCTCAAGTGCAAGGTCGAGATCTGCCGCTACGGGTGCCCGGACCACTGCCAGAAGGCTGTGGCCGGAGGTTACGCTGCTCCTTCTGCAGTTTCTGCCCAGTACGCGGCCCCCGAGGCGCGTGGGTACGAGGAGGGTGGTCTGCCCGCCGCCTCTCAGTACTCTCCTGTGGTGTCAAACTCGCTGGACGAGGCGGCACCGAGTGCCGAGGAGCAGGCACCGGTGGTGGTGCAGGCTGAGCTGGCCGAAGATTACGACTCACCGTCAGCGCCAGTCGCCGAGCAGCTCCAGCAGAGCGCTCCGGCCGCCGCCCAGGACTTGGAGAACTACTCCCCTCCTCCGCCGGCCGCCGACGAGCCGGTCTTGGCCGTACCGCAGCCAGCCGCGCGGCCAGGACCCAAGTTCCGCGCACCTCCGCGCCGCCGTCGGCCGCAGCAGCAGCGGAGACGTCCGGGACCGCGCCGGCCGCTCCACAAGCGTGTCGACCTGGCTCGTCCCGCCGGCAGCGGTCAGACGATCCGCGCTATCCCGCTGCCTCTGCCCCCTCGCGGAGGCGTCAACCGCCAGAACATGCCGGAAGAGCTGCCGCAGCTGCCGGAACATCTCCAGCCGGTGCTGTACGCTCCCAGCACCCAGGACGTCATCGGCAAACCCGAGGCGATCCCAGTGCCCTTCGAGACAGACGGACGTCATGCCGCCTCAGGCGCCACCGGTGACGGAGAGCAGACCTCAGACGCCGGTCTGGGCGGCATCGACCGCTCCGAGTTCCCCTGGGGACCACGGCAGCTCAAGATCCGACGGAAACGCTTCGTCGTGGACGAGCCAGAGGCGAAGGCGACCGACATCGGCGTCGGATCGCTGCTCGAGGTTATCTCTGAGAATGACCTCCAGTTCGAGCCGACCTACGAGGACAACCAACGAGTGACCATCTTCCAGGGTCAGATCCGGGACGACATTGTGTACGGCATCTGTCTGCCGGCGGCCGGCTTCTCGGCGCTGTTTGTGCTGCTGGCTATGTGCGCCGTTATCTCGGTGCTGGTGGCTGGCTTCCTCTGCCAGCACCGACAGATGCAGAAGGACTCGAACCGGCAGCCGGCGGCGGTGCCGCTCCGCGACTGGAGCATGGTGCACTTCCTCCGGCAGCGCTTCCATCCGGCGCAATGAGTGGGTGTTGACGCTGACGTTCTAAAACGACACGTGCGCGGAGACGCTCGTGGACTTTAACCGCAGCGCCACCTACCCTCCTGCAGCTCTCGCTCCTGGCGGAGGAGGCTGAGAGGCCAGAGACGCTCACGCGCAGAGCGGTGGCGTACTAGCGGCCCGCGCAGGCCTCCTCTGCGGAAACTGTGGATGTGGCTCTCTCGCAGCGTCTCTAACAAACGTGATGAGCGTCCTGCGTAGAGACTATGCCGAGACCACTGCAGCGTGGTTTGAAATGCCACCTTGCCCGCCGCGTGAGAGACCAACGCCAGTGACGTGACAGACTGAAACATTCTACAAGTGTTCGCAGCTAGAAAGCGAACATCTAAGTGGAGGACAAAGTGGCCTGCTCACTCGCTGATTGGCTAGGACAAGCCCACCCCGCTTGTTTTAGCCAATCAGCGCCTAAAGGCTCGGGTAATGTTGAACGTTCTGTGAACATTGCTTCAGGATGCCTTTGGGAAAGGGTAGTAGCCGCAAGGACTAATCTAGGTTGAGTGACATCGCATGCAAGTGAACGATTTGAGCATATGTGATTCGTGTAGACTGTAGGCTTTGTGAGCTTTGATCATGTAAAAGCATTGGAAAACCTGGATGCGTTTCGATAGCAAATTACTAGGGTAATAGTCTATCTTCGGCTACTCGTATTGCTCGTCAAAGTTGCAATGCTTGCTAAATTCCCAACGACTCAGAAGAAGATAATATACTCATCTTAGGTCTATTTTGCGATATTTATGATTCAATGTTATTTATTATGTTATTACGACATTGTGTATGTGTGATTGTTATAACGGTGGACCCGGCGTGACTTGACGTGGATATGTATTGTCCGTCCACGGTTGGCGTTCTGCCAAGAGACGATTCGGGCGCCATTTTGTTTTGGTGACGAGAACCCTGTGGCGTGACGCGCTCGATGTGTGAAGGACTCTGATAATTTGCTCAATTGTTTGCTTTACATCCAAGCTGACAGAGCCTGGCATACTGCGTGCTTCACCAATCAGTAGGCATTATCTGGCGCACTAACTGAGCGAAACCTAGGAAATGCCACATTCTTGTCCCTTCGCTGTTACTCGTTGGACATTTTGTTGTCTGTTATTGTCAGGTTTTCTGCGCGATTCGATGTTTCTCCTGTTGTCTGTTCTTACTTAACTATTTATTGACGCGTAATAAACAATAACCTGGTGAACGTATGTTGGAAGAGGTACTAAGGAAATATCGGTCTTGGTCTTTGGGAAATATCGGCTGGGGCAACGGAGTCGACAATTTATCCAAGAGGATGCATTTAATATTCTAGGATCACCAGACGATAACCACCATCGTTGCCTATCAGATTGGCAATGGGCGAAAAAAGAGGGTTGACGGATTTTTGACGAGATGTCTGCTCAAGGGCGTTATCGATTTCTGTAGTTGCACTTAACAGCACGTTCAAAGAAATGCATTTTTTTTCTCCCCAAGAACGGAATGCTCAGGCACATGTTATTTTACAGAGCATATTTTGAACCTAAAACTATATTCGAAACCTTCTTCAACACAAAAAAATCACGCCGTTTAACGACTTTCCAGCCACAAGCGAACAATTACGCTACTGCACATATCATATCACAGCCCTAGTACTTTTTGCTTCTTTGTCTCGGGTATCCAGTCAGCATGTCGATCATGTGGACGGCCAGCAACTCCTCCTCCATGTCCAGCTGCGCCTGCGTCATTGGCGCCGGAGGATCCGGTTTGACGTTCTTCGGCAACTGTTCCAGCAGGACCTTCCACTTGGCATCGTCCCCGGAAGTCGACTCTACCTTATTAGCCACTGATCGCAGCTTTCGGAATATCTCGAAAACCTCTTCATAGCCACAGGGATATGGGTAGTAGATGTCCAAGTTTTTGTCTTCGAAGAAATAGAAGAGAGGCTTTCCAAGCATAGCAGGGAAATCCTGAAACGTGAGAAAAATGTGTCTTAAACGTCGAGGTTGTCAAAACTAAGCAGTGATGCCTTGAACAAACCGATGGTCAGCAATAATTCCCATGACTTAAGCACGAAATCAATCAGTAATTGATCACTTATTTCATCAGAATAGGTCACATATTCACAGCAGTAGATCGTAGAACCCCTGCTCCGAACACCTGGTATGTCCGAGGGTGGGACCCTTGCTTCTACCCCACCCCGCTATGTCACTGACCCCGGCACCGACTGGTCAGCATTGTTCGACAGTGAAGTAACGATTTCTCCCTTCCGTCTCCCGCCCGGACCTTTAACGCGGCCCGCCCCTCTTGTACTCCCCGTTGAGACAGACAAGACTAGCGGCAGGGTGGGCAACCCCACCCTCCTCGCCTCTTGTCTGGACAAGAAGGGCGGTTAGGGCGAGAGGATTGGCCAAAGCTCCCCGGTCAGTGTCTATCGGTCATTACAGCTCGGACTGGTCACGAGAAGCATGTCCGCTGTCTGTCGACCTAAGGGCGCAGAATGACCGACAGCACGACAGCTTAACGGCCGCCCGCCCACGCAGGTCACTATCCACCTCTAGGACCCCACCGGATGGGAGTGAGGTGCCCCGGGCCGGCGGGGCCGAACCCAGGTCCGACACACCCTGTTCCCACGTCCGAGCAGTCACTGCAAACAGCTCCGTGCAGTGCACCGTACCAGCCAGAGGTCAACTGCAGGTCAACATGCCGTGAGCTAATTGATAATCGAACGAGCGCACAAGACACCGGCGCCGTTGCGTGCTGGGTGCGGGATGAAATATGGTTGGGAGAAAGATAAGATTAGTGCCCGTTGGGCGTTTGACTTGCCGGCCGCACTTCGATTTGATCAGGGATTAAATTCATTTTCATTATTTTATCTCACGGATTAGTGGAATCGGGGGAAGAAGTGGGAAGTACGTACTTCGTTTAAGATGTTGTTGAGCGTCTCCTGTTTCTGTGCCGGGGTATCCGACATCCATGTCGAGGACAGCCACGACGCCATGATATCCTTATCTGAAAATGATACAATATTCACAGATGATATCGTTCATGCAAGGTGCATAAAAGCGACAATTTAGCTCTCCAAAGTCCATCGCTTTGTAACCAATCAAAAACATCTTTTTTTATTTATCGAATCAAATTGAGTCCGAGCGTTTTCAAGAAATGTAAAAAATGAACTATCAATTAAATCGTGAATACACTTGATGACATTAAATGTGATCAATCCACATTCTACGCATCTTTAGGAACCCATTCATCGATTCGATTCCTGTGTAGCTAGATAATAGATATAGCAGCTTACACATCAAAAAGAGCTGTCTGAATTCTTCCACAAGCCCCGATACGTTGTCGACCACAGCTTGCTCCACAAATTCGGTGTCATCTGAAAACAAAACAGTTTCCGTGTCAATGCCTGAGGAAGCACAGGGTAGCATGCGCTCACGCATACCGGGGGAAGAAAGTTGTTTCTTCTTTTTGTTTCTAAAATCGTCCCGGAAAATCGCAAAACCGTATTCATTTGTGGCCCCTGCAAAGAACGTTTGAAGGCGAATGTGTCGGCATGAGACAGCGACAAGCGGCAAACACTTATGTGAATCGTCGTAAAATAGTCATGAACATCCGTCAGCCTGCAGCGTCACCCCACAGATGGCAGCACGTACCACCCAATCCCTCCCCGGAACCGCCGGACCGGAGCGCCACTCACTGAGCGTCAGCCGCAGGTTGGTGTAGAGGGCAGCCCTGTTGGCCGCCTGCCGGGGTCCCCTGACATCAGCCAGCTCCTGAACCTGCATCAGACGCGCCCAGGGAAGCAGCACGTCCAGCCTCAGAGCCTCCAGGCGCCGACGGAGCGAGTTCTCCAGCCGTGAGAGAGCGGCGTCATTCTCCGCAGGCAGGGTGTTGCTGGGACTGAGGGAAGGAGAGATGGCGTCATTGAGAGGTTGATATTGAAAAATAAGCTTTATGAATGAGCTTTCGAAAGCGAGTTTACGATTGCAAGATGGGAGCATGGAATCATAAGCAGCAATAAGACAGATGAAGTCGGATAATCATATTTCACAATCGGTAGAACTTTGTCTCGGGTTAAGCTATTTGAGAAATCACTGCTTATGTAGACACGAGTATGTTCAACTTAAAAAGAGCAGCGTCAATTTTCAAAATACGAGCGTGACAGTTGACACTGAACATGATGAAACCAATGGCACATTACCCCTTGTAGTAGTCATCAAGCAGCGTCGGAGCTTCTGTTAGGTATCTGAGTATTTTGTGATATTTATCTTGCTGCCCTGCAAAGAAACATTTCAGATTAGAGCTAGTCGACCACAACAAAATGAAAAAGTACATCTTGGAATGATACAATTAAATATGCGTCCCAGGTTCTTACCGTAACCGTATCAAAGGCCCGTCAAATACCCGTATCAAAGGCTCACCGAGAAACGCACGTCGCTGATCAACGAATAGCAATTCAGTTTTCATTGAGTGCCGTGATAAAGGGTTTCTAAATTTAGTTGTGTCGTATCATTTTGTCAATGCTGATACACCCATCGATGTCTAATTTACTAATAATACTCTCTTCCAAAAATAATGAGCCCATTTGTGTGACTAACCAGCGTTGACGACGTCCACCTTCTGCTTGAGGGCCTCGAGGACGGCCTGCGGCCCAAAGGCGTGACACGCCGTGGGTGACACCAGCGGGTGTCGGCCCTCGAGTGTTACCAGACCGGAGCATTGCGATGACACCGCAAACGACACCTAACAAACGGTTAAAATAGTCAGTGACGCAGAATAGGGCCACGAGAGCTCGTAATATTACGAGGGCATTATTATCATGCGGCATACTTAATTCATACAACTTTTATATAGGTCAAATATAAAAATGAGCATTTCGTGTAAGCAAAGAAAAATATTACGATACTGAACTGACACAGATCATGAAAATGGGAATCCAGAGAGTAAGAGAAAATCCCGAATTGTGCATTCCCTTCACAAAGACAGGCTTAAGTAACGACAAAGTGCAACGCCATAGTAGATGAAGCTTGTTTAGCTTGATGACTTGTGGAGCAGGGGTACTTACCATTATTAGCATTATCCACATGTTGAGATCCTTCAACTGGTCACAGACTTTACTTATGACAAAATCACTGACCCTTCCCTCAACACAAGCACAGGCTTGGGGAATGCACACCACCTAATTTTAGTCACTTTATCCTCGTCGGGATACGCCCTCCTCTCAACACCCTCCAATCGCGATAACGCGGGAATCGCAGGCGGTTCTCAACACCACGTGTCGTTAACTGACGGACACGGTCCCCGCTAACCCCTGCAGTTCCCTATCCCCACAGCGTGCCACCGTTTGGGCTGGTGACGTGTAACAGTGTATTGATCGGTAACGTAAAGGTTACGGACGGTGAATTTCTGACGCCCTTTGCGCCCGTTTGAGTGACAGCAGGGAGGGGAGGAGGGAGGGAGGGGGAGGGGAGGGACGCTGAGTCGGTGTGAGCATGATGGCATGGTGTCCCGAACGACGGGAGATATTTAAAAAAATGAGAACGACAGTGGAAGTCATCCTCACAAAATCAACACAATTCTATGCATCGATGTAATTTCAATTATACAATTAAAAGTTTCATCAAGCCTTCAAGGCAACCAGCAGTTGAGACATACGACACCCATACCTTCATAGTATCTATGCATCCAGTGACAAGTTGGCATACGTATATCGGTTTTAAAAACGGCACACGTTCTGATTCAACGCTATCACCACAAAGCAACTACCTACAGTGACAATGGCTGGTAACTTCGTCTAGCGTATGACAACTCACACATGCAGCATTCCACGAGCCTCTCTTCCTCGCACACAAATCTCGGTTACATCACAGAAGTCATGTGTGCTTACCACTTGTCCCGTTCAATATTCAAGCATTCATATTCCATAAAACACCCACGGAAATGCCCGACAATCCAATGGCTAATAAAAAGACAGGTGGGAAGTAAAACGCCAAAGGTGCCGGTGCGAACTGAAAGTCTCGAAAGCCAAGCACAAGCGAAATACATGCATATGACAATTCACAGAAACATACAAATAAGTTCAAGGTAGGGTGCAATGTCGGACTAATAAATATAGGTACGCGAACACATGTCTTACGCTACTAACACATTACGCTTCCACGATTCATGTTTAAAAGAACTTCTTTGGGTTTTGCTTAGCTATCACTGCCAGCTCCAATTTCTCGTCCTCCATGAAGATTGTATCGTCACTGGAAGAACAAGAGCGATTATCAATTATTAGGACTTCACTCGCACCTACAGCCAAGAAAGCGAGATAAGATAGAGCACCTTTGGAATGATTCAGACAGAGGAGGCAATACCTGAATGTAGAAGACCAAGAACTACCACTTTCCCGGCACATGAATAAAAAACTTTCAACCAATTTGCATCAACATCACGGGCTACTTCGATGGCAATGTACAAACGTATGTCTCATTTGTTGGATTCATGCCACCAAATCAGAAAACCAGAAACATGATTAATGTATCCAAATCACTCAAATCCTTGCAGTAGATCCCGGCGCCCCACTACCCCTTCCCACCCACCTGTAGAGCTGGATGCAGATGGGCTGTCGGTGGCAGTGGCCGCTGGGACACGGCCGCTTCTGTAGGACGCACACCTTGCCCGGCGGACAGCTCTCACAGAAGGGCGCCGAGCGGCTCACGCACAGTGGCTGCAGCGGACACGTCTGACCGGGCTTACAGAGACCTCGCGTGGCCGCACAGCGCGTCTGGTCGCCGCACCGGAACCGCACTGTGCGACACGGGTGGACGATCTCCGATACTGTGGGAGGGGGGGGGGGTAGGAGTGATATGTTGACACGGGTGTACTGTCAGTCTTGAAAGTACCGCGCACCGGTGCGGTAGATCCATCAAGCCCGACCGAGGAAGGGCCGCTAAATTTGAGTCACCAAACTAGCTCACATCCTCATCAATCCCCAGGTCAATTGGCACGGTGACTCTCAAATTTAGCAACCTTTCTTCGGTCGGGCTTGATGGATCCGCCGCACCGATGCGCGGTGCTTTGAATCAAGACTGCATGCATAGTACACAGACACTGCGTGGAGAGGTCAAGGTAGCGGGGTGATATCGTTGGAGCAACTCACCAACTCATACGCTGCGGGAAGGGGCGGGCCATGGGGTTGATATCAGGTATGCTACCGGTGGACCGTTGTCAGTTACATCGCACATAAATCTGTTGTATCTGATATGATCTGATATAGCAATGCGAGTAGCACCGCATTTCGACAGTTCATTGCACAGTAGCAGGTAAACGTGTCGATACATTTCTGAAAACGGATAGCAGCTAACTCAAAAATCATGACTCCAGTAGCTCGAGGTTTGCCAGGTCCAGTAAAATCCCTGTGTGAAGTTCACATGACCCCGTTCATGTGCTGAATGACCCTGAAGTGGCGTTACCCCGCTCTCATTGGCACTGCAGTAGACTGCGGTACGCAATGACGGACGACCGTGAAATGGTTTTCCTCGTCAACTTGCAGTGTCAAAATCGAAATGATCGATTGCAAATGTCTTCTGAATGGCCTGTTAGTCATTCGGTAAATAATTGTTAACCGTAATATCGAGATGTACTAATCAGCGAAGGGACTTTATTGGAACGAATTGTTTTTTATTTCTCCTTTGCTTCTTCCTTTCCATGGGGTCTCACCTGGTTTCTGACAGGTGTGACCACATCCTGTGCTGCAGCACTTTCCGTCCTCTGAGCAGTCATAGTCGCTGGTACACTCCTCGACACATCTGCCCCGGTAACCGCGGGTGAGTCGCGGGCAATAACCGGGCTTCACTGCGAACGGGAGGAGACGTCAGATAATTAACACGGATACACGTAAGTGGTATCTTGTGAATAAATAGGTGATCGGTAAAGTGACTGATAAAGTTGGGCAAAAAGTTAACAATTGTTATGCGTCTGCATAGTGCAATATTCGTATTGAAGTTAACATTATGACAGTGAACAATGAACATTTAATAACGATAAATTTGACATATGGTAACGTAAGTGTAGGCAAAATACAGACAGCTAGGCGTGCGTTTCCTTAACAGCTCGATTTTGAGGTTCACCAACGTTACCCCGGGTTCTCATGTTCACTTACCTGGAGGACACTCCTCCTGCGAGCAGAGCAAGTAGCCCTGGATACAGGTGCAGCTATTACACTCAATATCGATTATCTCGCCGTCTTGCTTGCAGGCTGCAATGGAAAAATACATGTCCAGTTGTCAGATGACATATTATTTTCTGAAAGTATGCATATACGATAGCCTGCAATTATTGATCCGTTGTTGATGGTAACTTGTACCCACAAAACATCACCCCTTACATTCTCATTATGCTGGCAATCACATCCCACGTGCCCGACCATATGCGTCATTACCTTAATCCCGTGGAAGGTCATGCAATATGAGGCTAAACAGGGGAACAGACCACCCAACATCCCGGTAAGCATGCCTGAGGCGCGCCGAAACCCAGTGACGCGAGTGAGGTACCCAACAACCTTCGGGTGGGTGCACAACTTACCAGTAAATCATCTTGCCCAGCAGCCGCAACAGCCAGAGGCCAACAAATCAGTTCCGCTCAGATGTGATTGGTCGTACTCGTGTGAATTCAATGTCATGATGCATAAAAGACAAAAAAAAAAAAACGCAGCCTAGCATGTGGAATGTTGGGTAAATTATTCTAATAACATAAGGCCAAGTAGGTCTGAATTTTATCAAAACGTCGATATTGATGTTGAGTGCGGTCCATACCAATTAATTCCTCATAGTTGTTATGATCATGCTGTTATGCTATGCACAATGCGCATAATGATGTTACGTTTACCTCTGCCGTTTACCCTAAAAAGTTTCAATTATTCATTCATCAGCCTGATTATGCTGGAACCTTTTTGCTGCAGAGTATGCTCGTTTCTTACGTGGGGTCAGTCAGTGCTTACTTAGGCACTTCGAAACAAATATTTACGATGTCCACCACTCATTTATTATGAATCGATAGGTTATCTATGAAGCAGCTCAACAAAAATGTGTAATATCATGACGTTATTTATTTGGCTATGTTAGCGCACAACTAATTCAATACACCCAACGAAGATGAACAAGGAAATCTCTAACAAGGCACGCCTATCTCAAAACACTAACATAGAAAACAGGTGACTAATTACATATTGACTACACTACCTGGACTTCGATACTGTATCCCGGGATGCGAATTTAAACCAAGTGCGCACTACCGCAAACCCACACTCAGGAAACCAGAAGGGAGCAGCAGTCCATATTCTGTAAGCTACGGCGGTGGGGGAAGATAGCCGAAGAATCCCTCGTTCTGCGCCTTGATGACCGACGGATTGAGGGGCTCTGGTGCGCGTGTTTCGAGACCGACGCTTTCTGGATCTCGGGGTCTGGCGCTACCGACGTCTCCAGGACTGGAACCACTGGATCCTCCAGGCTGGACGCCGCTGAAGGGTTCCTCGCTGGGAGGCAGCATGCTGAACACCAGGCTCGGCACGATGTCGACGGTTCCAGGACGGAAGGAGAAAGGGCTCGGTGGACGTAGCGGGGTCGTCGTCGATGACTTTGAGGCAGTCGTTCTAGGACGGAAGGAGAAAGGACTGGGTGGACGCAGCGGAGTCGTCGTCGATGACCTTGAGGCAGTCGTTACCGGTCGAGATGTCTTTACTGGTCTGTTGTCCGTAGGCTGTCGGTCCACGGGGCGAGACGTCTGTGTCTGAGAAGGTCGTCGTCCTGGTTGTCCTACTGAAGTCGGTCGGGGCGATACGGTCTGTCCGGGGGACCCAGGCTGAGGTCGGCCGAGGGGTCGACGTCGCCGTGGCGGAGTTCCGCCCACTGAGGGCCGAGTTGAGTCTGTCTCAGTGGCAGTCGGTCGTTTGTCAGGACGTCCTGTCTCAGTGGTAGATGGTAGTCTGTCGGGGCGTCCCAAAGGTCTCCTAGGTCTCTCAGAGACAGGGCGCGATGGGAAGGTCTGCCCAGTAGCCCCAGGTCTCTTGCTATCAGTAACAGAGGTCTGATTTCGCGAACTTACCTTCGGATCTGGTCGAGATGATTGTTTGTTGGGTGTCGGCTCGAGATTCTGGCTGTCAGTTGAGCCCACCAACACGGGCTGAATAGTTGGACCGGGCAGTATATTGTCAAAACGGGAAATTTTGACTCCAGGCTTTTCTACATCTGTTACTGGCGAGACGCGCTGTCCGTTAGAGGGACGCCGGCTGGGAGAACCAGGTCTCCGTCCAACGCTTCCTTCTGTTCCAGGTGATCCAGTTTGCTCCACAGCAGTAGGTCTTGCAGGTCTCCGACTGGGGACACTAGGACTCTGTCCTGTGGCTACTGGTCTTGGGTTGTAACCACCAGGTCTCTGTCCTTGATTTCCCCCCGTTCCAGGCGAGCCCGCCTGTTCTGTGGAGGCAGGCCTTCTGCTGGGAGAAACAGGTGTCTGTACTTGATCTCCCACAGTTCCGGATGTCTCAGGTCGTCCCGAGGCAACAGGTCGTCTGCTAGGAACACCAGGTCTCTGTCCCCGAGTTCCCTCATCAAGTTCGGGTGACCCAGTTTGTCCCGAAACAACAGGTTTTCGGCCGGGAACACCAGGCCTTTGTCCCCGAGTTCCCTCTATTTCGGGTGATCCAGTCGTTCCTGTAACAAAAGGTCTTCGGACAGGAGCACCAGGTTTCTCTTCCCGATCTCCCTCCGTTTCACGCGATCCAGCCTGTCCAGTTGCGATAGGCCTCCGGCTGGGCACACCGGGCTCCTGTCCTGTGGCAATCGGCCTTCGAATGGCAGCAGCACCGGGTCTTCTCCTGGGAACGTCAGGTCGAACAGCTGCATCAGTCTCAGATTTCGGAGATTCAGACTGTCCTGTGGTGGAAGGTCTTCGGCTAAGATCACCTGTCCTTTGTCCCTCGGTTGAAACAATCGGTCGACGGCTGGAACTACCGGGCTTCTGGCTGACAGGGGATTGACCCCTTATAGTCTGGGGAAAGCTTGGCTGTCTTGGCAAGCTCGGGCGACTGTAGGCAGGCCGAGGTCGTTTTCTCTGCGGGGACGTTTCAGGCTTCGAAGAAAGCTTTTGTTGTCCTCCAGAGGATGACGGACGGATGGCAGCAACGGGTTGCTTTTCAGGAGATTCACCTGCCTTTGTTTGGGACGAGTCCGTTTGGACGCCAGTGATCGGTTGCGAGTAAGGTGGACGAGGACGTCTCTGAGGGGATGTCGATATGGATGAATCCGCAATCCCGGGAGTTTTGGGCTGATTAAGAACAGGGTTAATTGTCTGGTCTGGACGAGATTCGGGAATCGCCGTTTGTTTAGGATCAGCTGGTTTGCTGGATGCTGGTCGACTGTAAGCAGGGCGCGGTCTGCGTGCTGGGGAGAACTTTTCAGCCGCTGGCTTCGGATCACTGGAAGTCTGGATTGAGCCTGACCGACTAACTGGAGCTCGGGAAGAAGGCCGCCTTTGAGGCGATGTCTGATTGTTTGGTCTGGAACTGGGGACCCTACCAAAACTAGGTCTGCTCTTAGGAACAGACGTCGGACCCTGTGGAGAAACTTCATTTACGGATCCACTTGGCTGGGCGGTGCCTGTTCCATCTCCACCCAGAGGCCTTGTGGGCAATGATTCAGGCGTCTCACCTCTCTGCCCGGTGGGCTTTGGACGGCCATTTACAGGACGAGGTCGTAGGCTTTCGACCGAACTAAGCGCTGTTGGTTGAGACACACCAGTCGGTCTAGTGCGACTTGGCTGACGAGTACCAGGTCGCGAGATCTGTGGCGATTTACCACTTGAGGGCTTTGTGGCTACGACCTGACCAATGGCGCTGCTTGGACGTCTGTTGATCGGCCGCGGTTGCTGCCGTTGGCTGGAGCCACCTGAAGTTATTTGTTTGGGCTCTTCACTGATACCAGACCCAGGTCGACGAGAAACAGGGCGGGGACGCAATGGTCCAGATACTCCCCCAGCTTGGAAGGTGCTAGGTCGGCCCCCTGTTCCGCTTGTAGGCCGAGATGTCTGCCGTTGTGGTGAGGTTTGGGAATTCGGTCGACTGCTACCAATCTGGCTAGGAGAATCGGGACCCTGACCAACAGGACGAGGTACGGAGATGCCTGGTCCGGAGGCTGGTCGACGACTGGACAAACCAGGCCTCACACGTTGAGGAGACACATTTGCTGGTGGCCGGACGCTAGGCCTGTCCGCCGCTGTTGGTCGTCCAGAAACTGACTGAAGTGAGCCCCGAGAGGACTGCTGTACCTCAGGTGTCTGAGAACTGCTGGGATCTCCAGAAGAGCCTTGTTCAACACTTGGTCGGCGGCTTACTGGCCGTGATGGACGTCTTTGAGGTGCTGTTCCAGTTCCTCGCTGAGGCAGAGGCTTGGCGACACTTGTATTCGGCTCTTGTTTTGTCTTGCCAACTGATATAGGGCGGCGTCTGCCAGGGACAGGTATCTTTTGCTGAGAAGATCCTGGTAATTTTCCGTTAACTGTGGTCCTTCTAGGGGGCTCTCGCCCACGGCCATCAGGGCCCGTTGGTTCTTTTTCAGGAACCTCTGGCAAAGGTTTGGAGGCAATGGGTCGCTTTAAAACGCCTGCTTGACGACTTGGAGGAGGAATCCGTTGACCTGTAGGAACGGCATTTGGACGCAATTTCGGGTCAGACTGTGCCGAAGTCACTATTTGTCCAGGTCTGTTACCATATTTCGGATCGGTCGATGTTTCTGGTTTGTTCAGGAGTGACGGACTTCTATTGAAAGGTCTGCCAGAAGACGGAGGAAGACCCGCGTAGCTTGTCTTAGGGGGAGTGAACTCTGAGTCTGGCGGCAAATAGCCATCTCCAATGTCCGGAAGATCCTTACTTTCTGTTTTCTTTCCACCAGTAGATACAACTCTGGGTGCTTCTGAATCTTTATCAAAGGATCCACTTATTTCAGGATTCGACGGGGACCCTGGGGTTACACGACCTGATGATGACTTACTGGGCACTGCAACAGAGCCAGGTCTTCTAGGTCTTCCAAACTTGCCAATTCCTGATACCGAGCTAGGCGTGTTTACGCCGGATGCAGACTCTCGAGGGCCTGCTGTAACTCTCGTTGCAGTAGAAGTAGATCCAGGATTGGAGGAGATAGATGTTAGTCTTGTATTTGGTGCCCCAGGTTTATTGGTTCCTCTAACGGAACCTGTTGTTCTTCTACCTGCCGTAGGCCTGCTCGATACTGAGCCAGGTTCTCTGACTGACAATCCAGGTCTATTGTTCCCTCCAACTGATCCAAGCGAACCCGTTGTCCCAGGTGCACCAATTTCAGCTGAAGACCCTGGCAGTTTGCTTGTTGGTCCAGGTTTTTTAGACGACCCACCTAATCCGGGGATACGAGTGGTTTGTTTTGACTTTTCGGCTTCCTGGATCACCTCGCTTGGTGTCTCTGTCTTCCCGGCAACGGATCCCGGCGTCCTATTAGCTGTTCCGGGCCTGAGAGATACCGGCCTTTGCCCACTGATTGTTGACAATTCAGGCTTACCAGTTTCTTTAGCAGGCACGGACACTCGATTTGGTGCACGTGAGTTGTCCGTTCCAATGCGTCCCGGTACCCTGTCTGTTTCGGGTCTACTCGATACCGGTACACGACCCGGGCCTCGCTTGTCAGGAGTACCAAAGGACCCTGGGGACCTGTTGCCTGTCACTGGTCTACCAGAAACTCCCGCGGTAGGCCCCGGCAGCGGAGCCCTGCTCCCGGCTTCAGGGCTACTGGATTCAGTTACAGCTTCTGGGGTTCTTTTTGGTGCCGCGGACTGAATAGCCTCCAAACTTGGCAATGGCGTTTTACTTGCTGTTCCTGGCTGAACTGGTCCGGATGTACGGTCTCCCGCATTGCTAGTGAGTCCAGGTCTCGATCCAAATGCAGGTTCCGCGGTTTTGATTGATGAACCGGTCTTGCCAATACCTACAACAGATCCCGGGCCTCCGTCACGTGTTGAACTTGGCTTATTAGAGCTCTGTACAATCCCCGGCGTTCTATCGGATGTTCCCGGACTTTGCGTTCTGGTACCAGAGCCAGGCGATCTGCTGGTTGACCCAGGGCTGGTGGATCCAGGTGTTCTTTCCCCAGGCTTTCCAGGCTGTAGCACAAACCCTGGTATTCTATTTGTTTTAGGTTGGTCCGTCCCTGACAGTGAGCCTGGAATGTCATTGCCCCCTCTCGGGCTATCAACCGTAAATCCAGGTCTACGCTTTGTCGAGTCAGATGTTGTGATCCCACCAGAAGATCCTGGCAATCCAGGTTGTATTCCTGATTGGTCATCTCCAGAAGGCTTTGTTGTCTTGCGGACTGGTGCAGGCCTTCTGTTTGTCCCTGAGCCTGGCGTTACACGTGCTGAATTTTTGCTTGCTCCAGGCTTTCCAGATGTAGCCTTGGGGAATATATTTGAAGCACCAGCTTTATCATTTCCTGAAAGAGGCCCGGGTATTCCTATGTTTGTTCCCGGCCTCGCAGACCCAGGCACAGAATCAGTCTCCGAGCCCGACGATCCAGGTTTACCAGTTTCAATTACAGACGTTGGGATTTTATCTATGGTCTCTGGCATACCAACTTCAGATACGAGGCCTGGCGCCGTCGACCCAGGCCTTGACAGGCTCGGCCTTCTGTTTGGTGCTCTGGGATTACCAGATCCCACTTGATCTCCTGACCGTTTGCTATCATCTGGTTTCGGCCTACCGATTCCAAGAATGGGTTTCGAAGGTCTCGTGGACGTTCCAGTACCAATGTTGGATCCTGGTCTTCTGTTCCCTGGGCCGGGTCTGCGAGCTCCGTCAACGTTATTTTCATTTGATGGTATTCTGCTCTTTGTCCCAGGTTTCACAGATACCGATGTTGATCCTAGTGTCCCACTTGTGCTTACAGGTCTGCCACTTTCAGGCTCAGATTCTGGAATCCTGTTAGGTGATTCCGGATTACGAGATGCAGAGATAGATCCTGGTCTTTTATCTGCTTTAGGTCTATCTGACGGTGAGCCTGGTTTCCTGATACCTGGTCCAGGTGAAACAACAGTCCCAGGTGTTCTAGTTTCTGATCCTGGGTCTCTAGAGCCTGACACCGAAATTGCATTCGTTGTTCCGCGTCTTGAAGACCCAGGTGCTTGGCCAGCATCGGCACTAGGTGTTATAGGCCCGCTGGGTTCAAACACAGACCCTGGCCCCCTCGTTGCTGTGGCAGACGTTGAGCCCGTAGTACTGGGTAGAGGATCACTTGGTCTAGTTGCAGGCCCTGCTTTCCCTCCAAATTGCTTAGGGGTTTCAGATCCCGCCACAGAAGTACCTGTTGCCGTAATAGAAGATTCTGGTCTGCTGCTGCTTGGCCCAGATGTGGACGTCTGAGGTCCAGGTTCTTTATTCGGCGTTCGGCGGATCGAAAAAGGAATTGATGGTATCTGCCCATAATAGCCGGTTTTGGGTGGTACAAATTCTGAAGTGGGTGGCAAATAACCATCCCCAATATCAGGCAATATGATAGGCGTTTTAGGTTTGCCATTAGATGATTGCATGCCACCAACGGTGCTAGCAGATTCAGTTTTCCTGGCATTATCAAGGATAGGAGCGATACTAACAGAAGCGGGAGATGGTTTCAGGGAGCTGCTAGTTGATTCTGCACTTCCACGCGTGACGGTCGATCCTGATGGTGTCGGAGTGGATTTAGAAGCTTTTGTTTTACCAGCTGCCACGGGATTTCTTGAATCGATGGCAGGATCTGGATTCCTTTTACTCGTACTAGTCCCCAGTTTTCCACCAATGATCTCAGGTGTCCCCTTACCAGCAGCGGGCAATCGGGACGAAGAAGCGGGCGATTTGACTCTTCCTGTTGGGTTTCGACTGGAGGTTGCTGTTGTTTTCCTATCAGTTGTCTTTCCTTCGTTCGAGGATGTTTGTCGAGCTCCAATGCCAGGTTTTGGTACTTTAGCAGTTGGCTCACCGCCACCACTTGGTCTATCAACATCTGCAATCGCCGGCCTTTTTCTGCCACTGAAAGCATCAGCCGGTTGACGAGTAGTACCAGACCCTCTTCCTGCAGATGTGGGACCAGCGCTGCTCGCATCCACCCGTGTTGTGCCAGGCGCTAGGCCTACAACAGGCCCTCTCGAAGCAGACGTGGAATCAATATCCTGAGATGTTGGCTTTCTGCCAAATGCAGCCGGTTTTCTTCCATTGCTTGGCGTAGTTGTAACTCTTGACGAGGTCGCGTCCGGCGAGTCAGATTTATTTTGCTTTCCAAGACCATTTTTCGTTCCTGTTGCAGAGCCTGGTCTGTTTGGTTCCAACAGGCCACCGGCAGATGAGCCAGGTCTTCTTCTCGCTCCACCTAAGGCAGCTTTGTTTTCGCCTGCAGGCCCTAATCTCTGTGGTGCAGGACTAGTTGATGTTTTCTTGTCTCCAACGATTGAACCAGGTCGTCCATTCGGCAATCCAGCAATTCTGCTTCCAGAACCAGAACTAGGCTTGCCCTCTGCTCCACCGGTCTCATCTACCCCAGTGCTGACTCTCTTCCTTTCTCCATCGGATACGGGTGCCTGCCCTCGGTCGATAGGTCTTCCTCCAGATGGTCGTCTTCGGTTTCCGGCTTCTGCAGGCATTCCACCACCCTCAACTGGCATGGGATCGCTCGTACGAACACCAGTCGATGATGGAGTTTTAGCGTTGACATTTCCTGGTGTCTGCGATTCTCCGCCAAGAATAGGCCTTCTCGCGTTATCCTCAAATTTTTCGCGAGTGCCACCAAATGTTTGTGCAAGAGGTGTTGTTCTGCTGCCAGTAGAATCAGTGGGCGAGCTTCCTTGCACTCGTCGTGTGCCACCAACAGCAGTTCCTGGTCTTGTGATTCCAGTAGCTGAGGGCCGTCCTCGAACAGACTCTGGCTTTTGAACATCTCCTTCAACGCTAGAAGGGCCATTAGTGGGTCTGAATTTGGCACGATTATCAGCCAATGGCGACCTGTCTCCTCCACCCAGCGGTAAAGGCTTACCTGCAACAGATTTTGAGGTTTCACCTCGGCTAACAGACGTAGCAGTTTCACCAGGAGTGGATGTTTTACTTCCCTCCGCTATCTTTTTCCTTCTGCTGTCCGTTGGCGACCTAGTATTTTCAAATCTGCCGGGACCACCGCCGAGTCCTTCAGGTTGTTTGACACCAGAGTCAGGTCTTGGTTTCCTGCCGACTCCACCAGCAATGACGGGTTTTCGCACGGGTGAGCTGCCCGTTGCGCCTGCCTTTGAGGGCCCAATGGGGTCACCTGGCCTTGATCCCACGATGCCTGGTGTTTGTGCAGTAGGTGTGTCACCTGCCTTCCTAGGTGGAGACCCGACACCGCTTCCTTGTCTACCATCACTAGGTCTTGTCCCTGGTCCTGTTGTGCTATCAACTCCAGTTACTTGAGCATCCTTACGAGGTTTGGTGGGTCGGCGGATGGGGAACTCGATAGTCGGTCGTCTGTTCACATATCCCATAAAGTCCGGGTCTATGTTGAAGCCTGGCAATACGGGAAATTCGCCATCCGCCCAGCCAGAGCCAGACGACTTGCGGACGCTTCCCACTGAGGGCAGTTCATCGTCTCCCCAGCTACTGCCAGAACTCCCACTAACCGACGCAGATGGAGCTTGTTCTTTCACACCTCCACCGACCCCGGATCTTTCTGATTGCACATCATCTTGACTGCCACCGAAATCCTGTCTCCCAGAGCCCGGCAGAATGACTATGAGCCCCGAAGACGATTCTCCGATTTCGCTACCATAATAGTCAGGCGGAGATCCCGAGTCTTCCCATCCGCTACCAGAACCAGAGCTCGACGTGGATCCCAAGGCACCGCTCTCCCATCCGGATCCAGATGTGCTCTTCAAAGGCTTCCTGTAGCCAAAACCACCGCGACTGACTCCTGATTCGAGACCTTCGTCCCCTCCGCTGCTGCCTGAACCAGCTCCACCAGCAGAGCCCGCTAGCACGTCATCCGATCCCCTCGCCCCGCCGCCACTTCTGCCAACTACAGAATCGCCAGGAGATGTGGGCGAAGTATCGCCATCGCCACTTCCTCCTCCAGTCTGCTTCCGAGCCTGGCTCGATTCAAGAACTCCTTGTCCTTGGTTGGTCTTTTGTGTCGTCGTCGCTGTTACCCCTGTCTGTGGGGTCACACCTTTTCTGACTGCCTTCCCCACGTTTGCTAACGGACCAGTCTGTGCTGATACACGAGGTGAAGGGGAGACAGTGGGCACCTTGTCGTTGGCAGCTTGTCCAAGTCCATCTTTGTCGTCTAGCCACGGTGGCAAAGTGTCATTACCAGTTCCGTCGTCGGTCACGGCAGCGCCGAGAAGCGCTGGGTCATAGGGACCGAAGTCGGTAAAGTCGTCAAAACCAGGAGATCCCGGGGGGATCGCCGATCCGTTTGCATAGAAGCCAGGGGAGAATTCCTTCCAGGGAGGCAGATAGCTGCCACCCCAGGTACCGAAAGCTCCCTTAATGCGATCGGAAGAGTCAGTCATGTCAAAGCGGGCGGGATTGTGAGGATAGTAGCCGTCGATGCCTCCGTACTTCTCTGATGTTCCGTCGCCAGCTAAAAGAGCGGTGGAAAGAGGTGTAAGGTGCGAGTGCAGTGTACCACTAGTGCACAGTGCAGGGGAGACATGCACCGCGTGCAGTGATCATGCGAAACTACTACTGAAGATTGTTGAGTAAAGAAATCTTAGATATCACTCATGCAAAAAATAGCCGACTGAATTGCCATAAAAATGCTACCTATAAGGGATTATAAATGTTCTGAAATTACTGTTCATTTAGGGGAGATATATTGAATATTGATGTTATGCCGAAAACAAAATGCAAATGGCAGCCAATGACAGTATTGTCCTAATACTTCCAAGATGTTCTTGAAACTAATTTAACACACTTCAACTTGTTTTATAAATCACTAATTCAACAGGCAGATATCTACACTGTGCCTGTGAGTAAGTTACAATTTTTAATCAATGGAACAATTGTGAATACAAAAGAATGTGATATCAAGAATAAAAAGTGAATTTTAAGGTGTAAAAATGTCTTTTTAGGCACTGACATCGCTGATTAAGTAAAAGTTTTGAGTGAAACACATGCAAATCTAGCTGCATAGTGCTCGAGCTAACCGTGCAAGGTGCCTGGTGCATTGATAAGTATCATCTACCAGCATGCCGTACTATCTACTATGTGCACCTAGTAATTGAGCACAATGCTCAATCCCGTTGGCAGAAAATACACACCGTCTCTCAGCTACCAAAGAACACTTCCAGACTTTCTGATCTGTGACTGAGGAGGACGGAATCGGACGGAAGCCCAATCCAGCCAAGAACAGACGTGAGAAGAATCAGGTGTTCGTGCCGCGCACATCCGTAAGGATGGCCGTACGGCCGTACGCATGTGTGCTCCCCGAAACCCCACTAACGTCCCCGGAAGGTACTCACGAATGGCTGCGCAGTAGGGAGCTCCGTTCCTCCGCTGCATGCACCGGAATCCCACCCTGCACTGGGTGGTCTCGCAGTCGGGCTTTCTCGGCGCCAGACAGACGCTTGCACAGCCGTTGTTGCAGCATTTGGTGTTGTCGGCGCACTGGGCGTCATAGCGACAGGTGTCCTGACAGCCGCCGCCCAGGGAGCCAGTGGCTGGCAGCTTCGGACACAGGCCAAACTTTTCATCTGAAAACGAAACCAATCGAGTGAAGACAATTAAAAAAGTTCGTTGCCAATACATACAGTGACGTAATGCAACAGCATCAATTTATTAATAACGTTTATAAGAAAATGATCTTAACCCGGCAGTTGCTGGGGTATTTCGCCACCCACCGTTTGCTGGGGGGGGGGGGGGGCGTTAAACGCCCCCAGCCGATAACTCGAGAACCAATAGGCGCAGCGAAACGCACGAGGCGGCAAACGAAAGAGCGCGACGAGACGCTTCAGATGAGTACTTTTAAGTTGAATTTTGAGGTCACAGGTCAGGTCAAGGTCAGGTCAAACACCTGAAATCGGGCTTTCAGTAGCATGGACTTCAGGACTTCGCAATGGGCGCCTCTCGTCATAAACTCTGTCAAAACGGTGCACAATCCATCATATAAGGCCTACAAGAGTGTCAGCTCCATGCAGGGGTCAGTCAAGCATAGGTCAGGGTCAAGGTCAGGTCAACCGGGCAGGCACATATCCTCGAAAATCAAAACTGATATTCGCAGCCTGTGACACATGTTTTATGGGTGATTTGGGGCGTAGAACACGATGGTGACACTCATTTTATCATATGTGTACGTGTTTGGCTAAAAAAGTTCAATTTAAGAAATTCATGTATCATGGTCGTGAAGTAGTCACGAGAAATTGCTAAGATTCAGTTCAAGATTTTGGAAAATGCGGAACGATAATCAATAATCGAAGATAGCCATTTCATTCTTCATGGTATTGGCAGTCTAATGGCGTTTATGACATGTTTATATGTCTATTCTGTGATTTTATATGATTTTTTGAACATATGCCGTTTTTGGTCGAAAACTCAGAAATCATGACGTCACTAAAACCTCGATATCTCAAAAATTTTCCGACCGATTTTTTTGAAACTTTGTCACAATAAACTTCAATCAATTCCCTACAGGTACCCAAAATTTGGCGCGCCGCAGGCGCGCCGTTTTTATGCTATGGCCCGGCGAAAAAAGTGGGGGCGTTTAACGCCCCCCCCCCCCCCAGCAACTCGCGGGTTAAATTAAATGCATGAAATTTTATCCGCGCAACAAAAGCTGATCTCCCCTCCAGCTTCAAGTCTGTTTTCCTCAGCTCACAAGTCGTCACAACCCTTGCATCCGGCACCCACCTGTCCTGAAGCACTGGGCATCCTCCGTGGGACTCTCCACACAGGCCGTGCCCGGCTCGCAGCTGATCTCATCACAGAGTTTCCTCGTGTCGGGGGCAGTGCAGACCAGAGCACAGCCGTTACTGCAGCAGCGCTGGTCCCCGCTGCACTGTGAGTCGTACTGACACTGCTCCTCACAGGAGCGGGTCCGAGCGTCCCACAGGGAGGGTGACGGACAGCGACCGGTCTCCTTCGGAGCTGGGGAGGAGGAGGAAATGACGGGTATGGTGAAAATCACAATCGTAAATAGTGATAGAGTTTGATGTGACAGCAACCATGTCGAACTTCAAATGAAAACCAGTTCGACTGGAAACGAAGCTTGCTATTGAAAAATATACCCAGGCAGTACAGACATTCCAATAAGCGTCTACTATTTGAAGTATATATCTTTTTTTCTACGCTTTGATGAGAGCAATGCAAGAAAATAAATAACTTTAAATAGGTGTTCACAGCATCGATACTAATGAACAAATTTCCATTTTCAAGTGACCCCTATCAGTCTGTTCACTCTATTGCACTCACCGGTATCAACACAGACGGCATCTTGGCTGCTGTCCCCATCCACACACACATGTCCCGGCGGACAGGTGAGCTGGTCGCACGTGCGCCTGAAGTCGGGATCCAGGCAGACGGAGGCACAGCCGTTGTTGCAGCATCTCTGCTGGCGTGGACACTCGGAGTCGTAGCGACATTCGTCCTGACAGTCGCCGCGGTACGAGCCGGGGCGGATGGCAGGACACCGACCTGCCTTTGTCTCTGCGGGTAGAGAGGGGAAGAGAGGGAGGAGTGAGTTGGTGAAAGACGGCCGACTTGAGTGAGAAAGTTTGGGTGGATTCTAACATTATTTCCTAAAGAAATCGGATGCTATTGAAAGAAACTACATAACAATATCAGTAGTTGATATCGATAATTTACACCCCAGTAAGGATAATTAAAAAGCTAAGCGGAAAGAAAACGATCTGCCTCTTTGACAGAGTGGTATACCGTCCAATCAGTGGGGCATCCCCTGCACCAGACAGCAGAGCCAGCAGCTCATTCACAGTCAGTGCTGATGACGGCCGATTAAACGCCCATAGTGATCGATCAGTGATGAATGACATCTGCATTGAAAGATGATTGGGATGTCGTTCTAAAAACGGAAGGATTGTCGATATTGTAATGCATTTTTTAATGTCGTATCTTTCGTCATAACATAATAACGGCACTTCCCCCGGTTAGTTTCTGCTGATGCATAATTGTAGCCAAAAAGTGGATCCTGTATCATCCACCCTCACAATAAAAATATGTCAATCAAAAATTAAGTACAACATATTTGTAAGTAAGCGGCGAGCGAGCCGACCGATGACTTAAGGCAATAATGTTTAAGGTACCGAGTTTAGTCTTCAATATGCTGCTCTCCTATCACCATATCCCCCGTAAAGAAATTCAGCAAAATAAGTCAAACGACTTGAAACAAATAGGCATGCCATAGCTTGGTTTCGGTGAGCGATTGTAGCCGTACCTATGATGCGCGTTCCGCTGGCCTCACTGCCGCAGTAGGCCTGACAAAAGCCCGACTCCGACGCCTTGTTGATGTAGTGCATGTCCTCGAAGAAGATGGAGAGAGGACGGGAGCTCTCCGCAGGTGTGGAGGGAGAGAGCGCGGAGGACACGGGTCGGGAGGGTCCCCTCTTCTGACCCGGGGAGGGATCCCTTCGCCTACCCTGAGATGGCCCCCCTCGTCTTGAATTTCTTGCTGCGGAAATAGAAGTCCTGGTGGGACCTTTCGGTGAAGCCCTGACACTACCTCTCGAGGAGAACCCATCGCTGCCATTGGTCCGGCCGCTATAATGTTCAGAACCTCTATCCCTTTCAGCACCACGGAAAGAGAAATCTGTCTTTTTCGGCAGCTTTGTGGCCTGAGCGACATCCCTGATTGAGGCAACATTTGTTCTCCGCGGGGAGGGTTCAGTGACTGGAGAGACGGGTGGGGGCTCGATGGAGAGCTTCAGGGGCTCATGAGACCTAATCGTTCCTGTTCTTGGTACTAGAGGAGTACCGGGATCGAAGGGAGATAGGGAGGAAGTGACTGAACGATCAGTCCCTAGAACTGGTGAGCCTGAAGCTTCACTAATGGCTTGGACCGCTCTCCGATTGGTAGACAGATCAGGGGCAGAACTGATAAGTGATGAGCGTAAGGCAGGCGTGCCGGATTGAACAGAATTGAAGTTAGGAACATTATGGTGGGCGCCACCGACTGCAGCGGTTACCAAGGCACCAAGAGTGGGAATAGGGGAGGTATTCAACGTATGGGTGATTTTGTCAAAGGTAGGGCTAGGAAGGAGACCAACAATGGATGGACTTGATGTGCTTTCTGAGGCTAAACGCAGAACCCCGTAATTACTTAGCCTTTCCCTGGGCGAAAAAGAGCTCGGGGTAATACGCCTTCGTGAAGACTTGTCCCCTCTCAATAGACCTACCTTTCCCGGCCTTTTGTTTCTGCGAACTTTGATAATCTTTATCCGTTTACGAATAGGCACTACTTTAACACTATCATTCCCACTACTTCCTTTTGAAAGACTAAGAGGGAAACTCGGGTTTTTATCTATGACTGGGCGGAACCCTTTGGGTCTCATTTTGATCCGAATTCTCATGGGTCGTTTGAGGGTCACTCGGGGGCTCGGGGTCACCTCACCCACACCCCCTCCCACCCGACCTCCCGAGGAAGGGCTCACGCTCTCCGGCACCGGCTCCGTGACCTCCTGCGGGGTCATGACCTTGACCGCCTCGGGCAGCTGGTACAGTCCGCTGAGCTGGGTCGGAACGGACGGTGGAGGAGTCCCGGCGACCAGCAGGGTCACCGCACACAGTACCACTCCGCGCCGCGCGGCCATCGTCACAGAACGGCGCACAGGTGCGCGCAGAGCCGGCAGGGGACTGAGCACACCGCCGGCAGGGGACTGAGCGCGCCCGCGGCACTCCGGTCGCCTCTTATAACCTCACGAGCCGCCCGGTCCCCCTGCCCCCCCCCCCCCCCTGTGTGTGAGCAATATAGACGGCGGGGTCCGCAGACCAACTACGTCATCAGGTGACCAGTGACGTAATTGTTTGTCTCCGAGGAGCGGCGGTGTGATACGGGCCCGGCCGAGGCGAGGTTTACCGTGGGAATTCGACTGCAACTGCTGCGCTCTGAGACTGACTGACCCTGGGCCGACAGCAGCGGAATAACGGAGAAGTTGACAGCTGTCTTCGTGCAAGGTTTGACACCACTATGAATCAAGTGGTCATGACAGCAGTATTATGAATAACGAAAAAATCAACGTTAATAATTTATGACTGAAGAGGTGGTAGCCATTCCATTACACCAGACGTGTATGGATCTGGGATCAATTTATCTTTATCTCAGATCCCATAGAATTGTACACTTTGTGACTTTGCTCCTCCATTTTGTCGAAAGGTTCAGTGAGATAACGGATCTAGATAGGTATATTTGGCGACAGAAACGTGATTTATTTTCTTTGTTGTTGCGATGGACGGGCAATATTCTTTGGGGGTGTGGGTATTTAAGTGTGATCAGTGTGATCGCACATCACATTTTCCAATTTTGAGGAATTTGACAGTAAGTGCCATGGCATTAGGTACTTGAGATTATGGATGTGGGATTAAATTACACTCAGGTCATAACACACACAACCTCCTCACGATTAAAACTTAACGTTAATTGTTTAACTTTGCAATAGCAATGCCCTTTGACGGAGTAGACAGGCGGGCGAAGCGTGTCCGCAAATGTTCATTAAAAAAACGCGGCTCATATGTATGTAGTGGTATCACTTAAAAAAAAGTTGAAAAAATAGGTCGAGACGGATCACGCAACAAACTAGAGACCGAAGTATAGGGAACGCTTGACTGAGAGAAAAGCATACAGGTCCAGGTAGTGAAACCACTAGCAATTGGCAATTTGAGCCCCATTGTTCGATCATTATTCACCAGCGTGAGCCGTGATAACGTATTTCCGGAAGCTTGAGGAGCGTTTGCGAATCAGACGTCAGAGGGTCATCGTGAATGGTAGGACCTCCAACTGGAGACCTGTGACCTCCGGCGTTCCAGAAGGAGCACTTTTGGCCCCCCTCCTTTTCGCAATGTTCATCAACGATTTACCGTGTCACATCACATCCGGCTGCCTTTTGTACGCCGACGACGTCAAAATTTTCCGCCAAATCAACTCCCCAGCTGACGGACTATTGCTGCAGAACGACCTCAATCAGCTGTCAGCCTGGTCCGTCAGATGGGGACTTACTCTAAATCCAAAAAAGTGCAAATCATTCACGATGACCCTCAAGCGTGCCCCCGTCCAGACCAAATATTTTATAGCCGATGCGGAACTAGAACATGTGAGCGAGATCAGGGACTTAGGGGTGACCCTCGACACCAAATTAACGTTCGCGCCGCATATATCAGACATTGTTCGCAAGGCCAATCGTGCGCTCGGCCTCCTCATTCGTTCTTTTCAAGTCGGCTTCGGCAAGGCAAAATTCAACCGCAGCGCAGTGTTAGCCGCATACTTCTCAAACGTGCGCTCCATTTTAGAATATTGCAGTACGGTCTGGGCGGGGGCGGCAAAGTCCCACGTGGTGCGGGTCGATCGAGTTCAGCACAAATTCCTCATCTGGCTGCTGGCGAACACATCCTCTGGTTCCTCTCCGTCTCTCTCCTACAGCAGCCTATTACTCCATTTTCAAATCCCTTCTCTGGCACAACGCAGGATCCAGCACGATATCCTTTTCCTAAAGAACATCTTTCATGGGAGAATCAGCTCCGCCATCCTTGTGAATGCATTTCCTCTCCATGTGCCACCTCGATCGACCCGCACCAACACTCTTTTTGCTGTGCCCCGCGCTCGTGTGATGGCAGTGCAGTCGGGCATGTATTGCAGGATCCCGAAGGCAATCAACGCTTTTTTGTCCACCAATCCAGAGGCGGACATATTTAATGACAGTTTACGTGCTTTTAAAACTCGTGTCACCGCATACGTTTTAACCGTGTAGTTTTTTGCTCACCGATCTCACTTTTGTTTTGTTTTACTTTACTTTTATTGTGTTTATTTTTTATGTGTATTCTTAATTTTCTCATCATTCTGCTGATGTTTATTATTACCCCCTCGTGCTTCATTTGCACTTTTATATGCATCTTTTGATGATTCTTTTTATGCATCATGTATTTTGGAACACCTTTATCTTAATTTTCATTTTATAAAATAGTTGGGAACTGCGGGCTGTGATGCGACAGGTATGATGTTTACAATGTGTCTTATACTGTTTAACTGTTTTTATGTTGACTTCACCTGTCAGTGGGGCTTGTCCCTGTTGGTGATTCTGATAAATAAATAAATAAATAAATCTCATCCCTGTCGAATATGACAGCACGGCACGTCCGGCCTACTGTACTGTCGTATCCGCGCGTTTCAAATGAGCCCCTTCCTCTTCTTCCCAGTCGGTCAACGATGCGCCTCGACCAGGTTGAATGAGTCAGGTTTTTATGCGACGATCTATTGCCGTTGTCAAATGCTCAATGGGAGACGCAAGTCTCATTCAACTGCCGTTGATTCATAAACATCCTTGTGCTGACTTCAATTAGACGTCTATACGATGAATGCGTTATCATAAAAACTGAGACAGTGTATCAAATAGAATAGCGGGTGCAAGTCATATGGCAAAAGTGTCTGATTGTGGTGAGAGTGTTCTCCAATGTCTTCATGTGTAAAGCAACAACGTAAAACCGAAATACCATGACAAGCAATAGAAGACCCAATTGAAGTGCAAAACAGTGAGCGTGTTTTGTCAACGAATTTCAACAGTAGTTCAAACGAGTTTTTTTCTTTTTCACAGAACAAAATAAGCGACCGAGTCCACGCTTGCCCGGACCGAGGCTGGTAAACGGTATTGTATAAATCGTCTATGACTGTTATCGAGAAGGAAAGTGTTTGCAGACGACCTTGCCTCCCACGGCAAAATCGAGGCACCGACGGCGATGGAGAAAGTGCTCTCAGGGTTTATCGTGCTTTTGAGCGAAATGTCTTTCCCAATCTCACTCATCGTCGGAAAAGTACGAGGCCGACAATCACTGGACTCACCTATAGTCAAAATCGAGATTAGTAAATTAGAGTTAGTTGCCTGAGCCCATCATAGTACATATATCTTACGGCAAATTCTCTCGAAATGGGCAATAGGTAGTATCTTTGTGATTGATGGGTCATTGCCTTTTGCATAGGACAGAGGTGAGCTCAAAACAATTGATCTTGATGCGAACGTGAAGGAAACGGCATGATAGGAATTTCAAAACATCATGCTCTGTTTGCATGTCGGTAAAAAAGGGAATAAAAGCAGCCACTTACCTCTATTTATTGATCCTTCAGCAATGTAATCTGTAAAAGGAAAAACAGGCATGTGAAAACATTGCACAAGAAACCAAACTCAACATTTGTATGTTTCACTACATGTCGCTTCTGTTTAGGCTAGTAAAACGTTGCATCGACAAATCAACTTTTGTTTTGTTTGTTTTTGTTTTGTTGGGTGAGGCCCTTTCGGTCCAATGAGACCATTTCAGAGCCGGGAGGATGATAGGATATAGGGGGAGACATTGGTCTGGACAGGCACCCTAGTGAGTCGCCGGGGCTGAGCCCGTCCAGAGGACAGGCCACCCAGCCCCAAGGCACTCACTGCACCCGGCTACGGGGTGCGCTCCCTCGGGAGCAGCGGTGCCGCTCCAAGGGAGCAGCCCGCATGAGATAAAGTTGCCTGTCCAGCCCGGAGGGGGTTGCGGCGTGGAGGACAGAGATTTCAGTATCCTGAGTATAGAATCACGGAACGGTGACAAATCAACCTATTTTCTAATTCCAGGATACTTTCCAATTATGCAGTTCATTACACTTATTGGTAAAACGTCTTTCCCTTATGAGGGTGTTTCGTGCTTACTCTGAATGCAGATGGCTCCATCTTCCTCCTCGTAGCACTCCTCACCGGGCGCGCAGATTTTATCCGCACACGTTTCCCGGGCTGAAAATGAGTAGCTGTGTAAGAGCGATTCGCTATACGGCGCAGCAGAGCGCCGCCTAGTGGTAAGCCATATAAAAGCGAACAGCGCCATCTGCGTCTCCATTTGCTGATCGACCATTCAGGATGTGCCCGTGAAGTTCCTGAAGTTAATTTGAGACATGAAATAATCACGATTTATTTCAACGATTCGTTAGTTTTGCTTCTCGGAAAGCAATAAAAAATCACATTAAAAAAGGTATAAACTGAGCTCAGTTATAGAGGCGGACTGGACTTTGGAATAACCCGGCTCCCGAGCATAACCGGAAAACAGTCATTTGACCTAAGATTGTAAAGCTTTAAAAATACCAGCTTCTGCCCCAGATGTTGAATGGATGACATATAAATTATACAATGTGTGCTGCAGATGCACTTTGCTTTTCGCTTTTACTTTCACCACTATTCGTTGTTCCCATTACCGAAGTTCCCCAGTTCCGATCTTTGCTACGGCACACCCACCTTTGATGCACCTGGCCCCGGTTGTGAACTGGTCGTCACAGATGTATCCCACCGGACACTGGCGGTTCGTGCAGTCGTACATGTCTGGAACGGGACCGACGGAACATTGTGAACGACACGTCGCACATAATAGCAAAAGCTTCGTACCTTGTTCAGCAGAACAACCAGAGCAAGACGACCAATGCACGCAACGTCAACGCAAGGCCAGTATAGGATCATTGATTGATCATCTCCCGGGTTACGGAGCATAATTCGGGTTTTGTAACCTTTTGTTGCTATAGGATGATGATTGGTGATTAATGTAAGACACTCAAAGAGAGGCAACTTTAAATAATGATGGTCCACTAATTCCTGTCTTTACGCTTCGAAATGATGTGGTTCCTTAGTTCCATTAATTTTGTTCATACACTAAACGGTCGCCTTTTTCAACATTACAAGCATTCATCAGCGCGCGGTGATTGCAATATCACGGTCTCATCGGAAATTCGCTCGAAATTAGCTCGGGCAGCGCGGCCAATTATTACATCTTCGTTGCATCCAGAGACATTGCATCTCCAAATACTCCCCCGCTACACCATATTCCTTCACAAGGTTGAACGTTATGACAAGGACGTTCTGCCGGCGAGTTGAAAGATTAGCTCTGCTGCTTCGTATGCTTGTTGTCATAAAATGACGATGCTCATTTACCTTGGAATCTGAAGGTCATCCGTTCCCAATATGGAAGCGACGCCAAGCGATATTGCATGCAGTTACTCGTTAATGTTCTGTTAATTTATTCCCTTGGGGTCCATCATGATGTTCGCTATGACGCCAATAGGATGTGACATCTATAGACGCCATAGAATAACTGCATCATATATCTGCGTCTGTTTTGAGAAAATAATCCCACCGGAGTACTGACGAGGATTGTGGTTTTGGCTCCTGGAAAGGCCGAACACAGGTCGCGAAGCATAAATGTTTCTTCAGAAGCATTTTACATGTGCCATTTATCAAAACAATGTACGTATTTGGTCAGACACTCTCTTTTACAGTTTGAATACATAACGCGAAACCAACGGATCACAATGTCTCATTTTTTTTTACGTTGTAATGTTGATATTTTTAATTTCAATCGACGACCTTTCAAATCAGAGATAACGTACCGTGAAGTAAAGGTTAAAAGCAGATTAAAAGAAGACAACAAGTAATTTAACTGCAGACAAATCACTTTTGTAGTTTCTCAGTAATTAGCTCCACGGACCAAGGTTATTATGGTGACATATATCCCAGAAGCATGCACAACTCAATCAAAGACCAATGTCGACAGCTGACATCTGTAACGCAAACTAACTACGTCATCATTGGATGCCGGATCATCGTTCTGACGCACCTGAACCACAAATCCGACGCGCTTACGTCATTCACCTAGACTTTTTGCCAGGCTCATCGCACAATATGCCGCGCTATTTATATTTCAGGCGCGCAGAACGACCAACTCCAATATCCACCATCGTAATGAACAAAATAGATAACAAGTCATCTGCAATATCTAAATAAGGAGGTCTAAATATAACACGCTATGCAAAACAAGCCATCGAGCGTGAAACAGTTAAAATCTCTAGCTTACCTTCGACACACACAGCTCCATTGGGGGTGTCCTGACAGATATAACCAGCCGTCTCACACAGTTTGTTGCCCATAGAAGCACAGTCCGTCTTCACTGAAACAAAAAAGAACAGTCGTTAGTATTTGCAAGCGGAGTTCAATGTTTGCATTTCTCAATGATTGTGATAAAAAGTACTCAATGAATGAGTGGCTATCAATTAATTCGGTCATCATAATTGCGCGGTAGTGCAATCATCGCTATGGCTATACAAACACTGCGGCTTTTTTACTACAGCTCAGTCATTATTCGCGCGCTGAATGTTGTTGCACAACACGTTCTGTACACCGACACACCCGCGTTTCTAAGCGCATCAACACACTCCGTTCATTACAAACTTCCTGTTTGGGCGTCTGTTTGGGTCGCGTCGCACACACGGTCACTCGGAAGTTGTCTTACCCACCCACTTATGATGCGCATAACAGCGTTTCTTCACCACCCGGGCACATTCCTCGGCCCCTCGCGGCGCCTCATTCGGCAATCGCATGACTGCACACTCTCACCCGCCTCTTCCTCCTCTTTATCCCTCGTCTCCTCTTCCCTACTTCTCTCCCCCGTGAACACTCTGATGCTCTCTCGCTCGCAAAAACACCACGAGTCCGTGTGGGGTCGCCCTTCAGTTCGGCTGACCCCTGACTGAGGCCGGGCGACCCGTGCCTCTCACGAGAAGATGAGCTTAATAGCAAGGCCGGTCGGCGCTAGACGGGGTGGGACGGGGAGGGGGGGGGGGGTGTCGGCCAAATACGGTCAGTGTCTGCCGCAGCCAGACCCGGTGGAAGCTGCCCAACCGGCCAGGGCACTCGTAGTTGTAGAGGTATCTCAAATATCCCGTCAGCCGATAGTTTTATGACTAACTGATAGGAAGAGCCGAGAGAGTATCGCTTTCAGTAGTGAGCATTAGAAACAGGTTCATGACAAGCGAGTTTTGGCTGTCTTGTCAAAACAGTCACCTAAGAAGTGTGCAGTTTGCATAGAAAGGTGAAAATCACATTCTTGGGCTTGTGGAAAGTTTACTGGCTGTGACACACCTTGTTGTTAACTATTATGCATTTCAGACCCTATGGAACAGTCCTTTTCGGCTATTTCTCGTTGTATATGCGTTTGATCTTAACCAAATTTTGGCATTGGTAGTTTGAGAGCCCTACCTACTGTTAACGCCAGACCCCTTGAGACCCTAATTTTTCGCGATTACTTTTAAATGCGTGAAGGAATTTCAACCAAGCTCAGGACATGGCCGTTTCAAGACAGGCCGAAACTTTTACAATTTAGATATTTTATCGCCATTTCAATATTTCAGGCACTTGTCATTGACTCGTAATGTTAAATTTCGAGCAAGATTTTCATCCGGTGTGTAGAGGCTATCACCAGTCAGTCTGTGATACGTTATGACGTCACAGCTAAGCCCCGCCTCTGTGGTCTTGGCCTGCGGCGGTTTCGGGCCGGCGCGCGGTCACTCTCGCTGTGGCGGGGAGCGGGGACGGGCGACGGTCGAGCGGTGCCGAAAGCTGGCGGAGTTGTGCGTAGCGTCTTGGCTGACAGTGCCCAGAGAGCGACATGATGACTAAGGAGTCATAAATGCTCAATGCGCATTGCTTCTACAATGCTGATATGTTCGCTGATATATATATATATATATATATATATATATATATATATATATATATATATATATATATATATATATTTTATAAGCTGCAAATGACGGGCAGATGGCATATAACTGACATAAGGTTAGGAAATATTCACCTGTATTTAAAGCCTATGGCGTTGCAGATAATGCGATAATGGGATGTCGGATGTCACCAAGTAGCTGCCGATTTGTACATCGCTATGCAACCATCGAACAACGCAATAATAAGTTAATTGCCTGAGCTTCACATCATACGGCTCGCTCGTATTTCAAACAGATACCCTACATCGAAAATCGTATTTGTTAGGAATCGTTAACGTTTGTTCGAAGCACGACTGAGTAGTAGGTTGAGGAGTGATGGTCCTCTTGGTCCTATATACGAGTACAAGAGTCAACAAGAGCCTAACATTTACTTGACCGTCTGCTGCAATTGACTCATAGCACGTGAAGCGTCAGCGAAATTCATAGTCCTTCACAGATGGCAGGGGTGTCGTTTGTACAGAGGTCGCTGATGGGCACGGGTCAATGCCGCAGTCGTGGGCGGAGCCTAATGTCATATGACGTAGAAAGCCTCTATCCAGGATGGAAAAACAGTTAACATTACAAGTCAATGACAAGTGCCTGAAATATTGAAATGGCGATAAAATTTCTAAATTGTAAAAGTTTCGGCCTGTCTTGAAACGGCCATGTCCTGAGCTTGGTTGAAATTCCTTCACGCATTTAAAAGTAATCGCGAAAAATTAGGGTCTCAAGGGGTCTGGCGTTAACAGTAATTTTTATCAATATGGTCTATTAACAAAAATGGAAATATTAAGGCACTTGTCATTGACTGATAATGTTAAGGTCGTCAGAGCCCTGCTTAGAGGCTGGCACAGACTGGGCGCTGTCTCCCCTCTGATTGGTCGTCACTGCGGCTTGGCTCCGCCCACTTGCGGTCCAGCCTCGGGTCATGTCGGCGGCAGACGCAGTCTGGCCGGCCGGCGTGCGGGCCGCGCGCGCAGCGCAGCAGCGAAGTGGAGCACTTGTTCGCACGTCATGAACTTTTATTATTAAGGTGTTCTACGACAAATAAGGACGGAGGAAGAAAGAAAAAGGAAGATGAGACAAAGTGACAATGAGACTAACGGTAGACGGTGGCCAGGCTAGTGCACAGCAAACAATGTGCATAAACGCTAGAGCAGAGACAGGAGACCCGAGACAAAAACGGTAGACGAAAAACATCTTTCTCTGTTTTAATGTTTTTCAGCCCTAAGATCTATCAACGATATCCTCAAAGCATTGTGGAACTATTATGGAAAATTGAATATTTTCACACCCAAAAATAACACAATTTTATTCTAAAAAAAAAACACGAAATGCAAGTACATGTGTGGATATCCTCAATTAAATAAGGCCGTTGAATGTCACATTCCATAGCAAATACGTATCTAAAGACAATCCAGTAGATTCTGTTTCGTTGCTCCTTAACCCTATTCCTGGCGGGGGGGGGGGGGGGGCCTCAGGAGCCCCCCCCCCCCTGAGGTTTTTTGGTTATTTCTCCCAAACGCGTTGAGCTAGGAAGCTCAAATTTTCTGACTTTTCCTAAAAGGCTTCTACGCAACATGTCTGAAAATTTTGAGTTGATCTGACCTCAGGTCAGGTCACCAGAGGCGGTTTGGTGACCCTACCTCAGAAAAGTTTGCAATCACGCCAGAGCTAGAGTTTTTGACCGATCAATTTCTTCTCTTCAGGCTTTAGTTAGCGTACCAGTATGTGCAATTTGTATATCTCGGAATTTTGATATCGGTGACCTAAGGTCAGGTCAGTTTCGCGACCTCCCCATTATAAGTCAATGGGGGAAAAATCAACTGCCTGTTTTTACCACTAAAACGGGTCGGAATGGCCCCATATACCATACATGACTTCATATACGATCAACCTTCACTACCTTGAGGTCTGTTTTGCTGTTGGGCAGCTGTGAGGTCATGTGACGTCATCAAAGGTCACCAAAGGTTTTTGGCCAATAACTCCGTACAGGAACAAGATACAGACGCGTGGATGGTCTCATTGTGTTCAGCTCGTCAAGACGCATCGAATGATATACATGATGACCTCGAGGTCACGTGACCTGAGGTCAACCTTTGACCTTGACCTTTCGAGGTCAACATCTATATCATTCGATGCGGATTAACGAGAGGATCACGATGATGCCCTTAGTTTGTTCCTATCTTGACTAATTCGAAAGTTATTCGAGAAAAACTCTCTCCATATCTAGCGCCGCCATTTTGACTTTTTCGACCCCTGTGACGTCATCTTTGACCTGACCTGAAAATGACCTTAGTAAAAATTGTAGATCTTGACCGTGCGTATCCGATGCCGTTTACCGTTTGTCGCTGCGATGTGTAGTTTTTGAGATCTGAAGGGGGGCCGAATCGGCCCCCCCCCCCCCGCCAGTTTCTTGTCCCGGCGGAGCCCGCCAGGAATAGGGTTAAATGCACCATAGCCTGTAGGAAAACAGGGCAGCGGAGAAGCTCGTTATAAATTATTGAAAGTAAGATTCCTTTAATTTTGTAGGCAATAACATTCTGGAGCTTACTCTGTAGTTGGAAGGAGTGCTTATCGCTTTATACATGCACCGATCTGCATTGCATTGCGTTCTTCATCCTCATTCTCTCCGCGCGAGATGACACATTCACGCAAGGGCACCTGCGTTAGCGTGCGTCTTGTTCCAGTCCGCCAGAGCTCCGCACCGCCCTGACCCCGAGAGGCGAATGACCGGTCTCTGTGTCGCGGCGCAGTGGGCGGAGCTTAGCTGCGGCGCAACAGCTGACGCTGCTACGCCATGCTAGCCTCTACCACGGCGCAGACTTTTCCGATCAATTTTTACCATTACAAGTCAATGACAAGAGCCTTTCATTTTAACAATTTGTTAAAAGACCATATTAGTAAAAATTAGGTAGGCCCTTGAAACTCATTGTGTCAAAGTTTGGTTGAAATCAAGCGTATAGGTAACGAGAAAGAGCCAAAAAGGACTGTTCCAGGGGGTCTGAAATCCATAGTACGTAGCTGAAAATAGCTGGCCGTGGTCGCACTAGCATTACAAGCCATACCAGTGGCAGGAAAGCCGCCTTTTGCGCATGATATTCCGCAGTCTATTCGACTGTAGGTGCTTTCACGCAAAGGCGTTGTAATCAATTGAAATGAATATTTGGCATGTGAATACGAATCACCCATACGCAGTGAACTTCATGTCATGCCGTGAACCCATCATTCAAATGCGTTCTCTTATGTAGTTAAAGGGACCCTCCCACCTTCAAAAAAGTTTATGAATTGGCATGAAAGTGATGTCGCTCGGTTCAGAAAGAGCAAAAAGGAATACCTACCAAATTTCACCGAAAAATATTCACTGGTTTTCAAGATATTAGACTTTTACTTTTGTTTACTTTTTGGGATCTCCGCTGTTCCTAGCGACTTTATTTGGAAGCAATAGTTTGGCAGCTGAAAGTGCGGCACTTGTTGCGCGCAAAGCAGCATATACCACCGCGTGCTACAAAACGTTTTAGTCAAACATTTAAAAATCGTTAGATATCTGCGCTGACGTCACACATTCAGAGGGGTATTCCTATGCATTAGCCCCTCTGAATCAAAATGCTGCAATTTTGAAATTCAATATATCCGATTTAAGGCATTTCTCGATGTTGTGAGTGCCGAAACCGGTAATTGTGAGCCAGGGACCCCATTTTGGCTATCTCAACTCAAATCTAATGTTAAGGTGGGAGGGTCCCTTTAACCACCTTAGCTATACGGGCGGTAGTATGAGTCTATATGGCCTGACACTCGCCCCTCGTGGGACATGGTTTGACACAAGTATAACGCGCACTTACGTGGTTTGACGCACTTCCGGCTGCACCCAGCGGTACAGCAGATGTTGCCTCCTTCACAGTCCTCATCCTTCTGACAGAGAATGCGGGACTTCTTACAGGGTCGCAGCGGGGTGGCCGCCAGCGGACACTGGCCAACCTTGGTGTGTGCTGCCGGACAGAGGTCAGCGGGTCAGTTGAGGTCACCACGAGGTCACGAGGTCAGCAGGAGATCGAGATCGAGATAAGGTCAGTAAGCTCACCAATAGGTCAGCTGAGGTCACCGCTTAGGTCAACCAAACCGGATAGGTCACAGGTCGTGGCACCAAGTACGATGCTTGAACCTGTGTGGTGGGTTTAGTGAGACGCGGTATTTAGCACAAAACGGCAGGCAGAATACGATGTTGTTGTTTAGCAGGTTTGGATTAAAGCATGGGGAGAGTTGCTGGCATAAATATGTAGATAAGAACTGGAGGAATGGGAGCGGTTTGCGGCTCACGGTAGATCAAGAGGATTTGAGTAGCGCAAAAATGAAACATGCTCGTGGGCGGGCTTACGTGTAATAGGGATACGAATTGTGAGGATTTCAAGAGGCTGTATATGGCGAGACTCATGGCGATGCATGAATGAACAACCGTTTAAGTTTGGCGAAATTATCTCACAGTACTCTAATCCGTTAAATTATCTCACTGCGAGTATTATCCCTCCCAGCAATTATAAATACGACATTTACAATATCGTATCAACGACTCACTTTGTTCCCCGTACGGAATACCAGGAAGAGCGTTGCTTCACTAATCACCGACTGGACTAACTCTACTCTCTCAGTACGACCCCGGCTGTCTGGCGTTTACACGTGTCGCGTGTCATGAACTCACGGACACAGACGGCCTTGTCGTGTCGCTGCAGACACGACGAGTTCTCCTCACACTTGATGTCGGCGCACGTCGACATAGGCTCTGCAACGGGGGAGCGGCGGTCAGTGTCGGACGGATATGGAAGCTACAACTTACATACATGGACTGGAGGTCACAGGTGTTCATGGGAGGACACAGGTGTTGACTGGAGGTCACGTGTTGACTGGAGGCCACAGAAAGAGACAGACTGGAGATCATAGAAATAGAATGGACGTCTCCTTTGTGGACATGAGGTCATAGGCGAGACTGGCCGTGATATTAACAGAACGAAATGCATAACTAAAAATGATAATTAGAACAGAAAAGATGCCGTCTATGACAGTGGTGCCTCCGTAACACCGAGTAAAAAGTAAAACTAATGGAATAGCGATGAGTGGACCTTGCGTGTAGGCAGTACATGTCTTTTATTCAATGGTTTGCGAATTACATTATAACTGTAATTCACTTACTGTTGACACATTCGGGTCCTTCCTCCATATCCACGCAGTAATATCCCGGCTTTGTGCACTGCACATTCCGACAAGTGGTCTTGTATTGAGCTGAAAAGAAGAGCAATTTTTATGGTGAATTCGAACACAAGATCTGGTATAAGCACGTTACACAACCAAATCTCAACATTATCGAATCGACACCAACCATACAGCTCAGCACGCATTTCACTATGGCTCGAAGCCATGCCTCTCTCCACAAACCCCTTTATCACCCATCTCACAAACGTCTAAAACACTGCCTTCCACATTCAACCCAACACCTTTTGCCGCACGCTGGATGACCCTTTGACCCTACGTGAACACCCTAAACGTCGGACCTCTGGCAGATACTGGGTCATCTCGGCTGACACCAGAGGAACGTGAGCGTCCGCGTTTGAAGGGGTCAGGGGTCAACAGTTGGTCTGGCCGCCCACCATAACCGATTGAAGTCGGCAAGGACGTTCAAATTATGCACGCCTCTCGAGTTAGGGTTGAGTAAGTAACGACATGTAGATATTTTAGACTTTGAGGAAGATAAATGTTGATGAGCAGCGTCGACGTACCAACACCATCACGGAAAGCAGTTTCTACACATAGCTATCCTATCACCAAACTTTTTTTCAAGAGCACTGCGTATTTGCGTGGAAACCGAGAGGTAAAATGTCTGACGCATAACACCACTCTTATGCCAGTGCTTCACGCAAATAACAGCGCGCCAGACACTACCGCATATGGATGAAAGAATAATAACACTCAATCGTACAGTAAAGCATCGACAGTACGAGAATTCAGCCAGCCACTGATTACTGGCATGGAGGCCCAAGAGAGGATAAGTGACCATGCATAGTAGCATCATACTCACTGGGCTGCGTGCACCCTACGTCGCCTCGTTTGTTTCCGCAGCATTTGAGGTCGCGGGGGCAGTGGTGGTCGCTCTTGCAGAAGACTCCCTGCTCGAGAGTCAGCTTGTCCGGGTTGGGACACAGACCAGGCTTCTCCGACACTGAAACAGCGGGGTAGACAGCATTAGCGGATTCTGAGAATAATAAACACATTGCCTACGCCTAGTTGGATATGGGGAGCTTACCTCGTCCTTTTTCTGCCAATCTTTGACGGATACATTGGCTCAGGATGCCGTGTCATTTTTCGTGTAGGGTTATTCTGAAAAGTTCGCACACCGGTACTTGATGTACGACATTACCATTCCACCAAGAGGATTTGGTGATCAATGAATGCAAACAAATAAATGTCAACACCAGCCGCAAATCTTCTTAGGACTGTTGCAGAGCATAGCAACAGATGCCACTTCCTTTAACTTGATGACATTTACTGGGTTGAGGGGATCAATGCCGCATTGATAGGCATCCTATAATGCCGGGTAAGCCTCGCCGGCATGGGATGATGTAATTTATTAGATACTTTTGAGCCTTCAGGGGGCATTCAGCAAATCTAGAAAACAAGAGATAAGCTCGAAGGTTTTTGTCGATGACTTTTGGAGACGGACGGCCAATGTAATATGCAATCCATTTCTGGACACAAGAATCGCAACTAACCACCAAGTGTTCATCGGGGATTATACATTTACATGGCTGAGCCTCACGTGCGTTCTACGGTGGGCTTATATCATAGTCATGAGTTCACTAAATGGTATGATGTCAGTATGACATAAGCAGACCTTCCAAGTGCAGATTTACTAAGCAAGTAGTGTATAAGAATAATCAACATAGGTACGCTTAATGGGAGGTCCCTTGGCACTAGAAGATTATATCGCAAATCCGACGGTATTGACAACTCTACCATCAGTAGTGTCAGCAATATATCCTTCATATCTGGAATAAACAGGTAGCTTGGAGAATCCACATTGAATTCCACTTAATTCATCCGCCGTCAGTCACTAAGAACCCACATACCACTTAAAAGTCCGTTCTACGCTAAAGCAGCAACACGAATATCGAGTCCATCGTTGTTTCAATCATGAATTTTTTAAGAACATTTTTTAGAACATTCTTGTCATCGGTACCGGGGTAATAATTGGACCAGGAGCCTGGGCAGCTGGCCTGACATTCTACTCATCAAATTATTAGTTAAAAATGCGCCCGCCATCTCATGAATTCCAGACCATCAAAGAAACAACATGTGAGCATAAGCGCTTTTTTGAAAATCAAAGAAACAAAGGTTTTCGAAACTTACCTTTCTTGGAGCACTTTTTGCCGCACGATGTGTCGCAGCACACCTGTCCTTTTCCGCAGTCGAAGTTCGACGAACACTCATTCTTACGGAACAAGCAGTTAGGGGAAGCCGTTTCGGCTGGGCAGAAACCGGGCTCATCTGAGGGAAGAACAAACGAATTAAGATGTAACATTACCAGGATACCGTTATATCGCATACTGTCATGTCGCTCCTTTCCTGTCCTAATGAAAGCTAACAGCAGTTCTTATAGCATAATCATCTAATGCAAGCCCTCTCAGGCAGCTGAACCCACCTGGCGGCTTGCAGGTGCGTCCACAGCCGGTGAGACAGCACTTGGAGCTCTGTGGACAGTCAGAGTCGGTGTCGCAGAAGTCGCCGCACCGATCCTGGCCCTCAGCGGCTGGACATAGGCCCGGCTTCTCCTCCGCTGCTCGGGAGAGAGGAGGGAGAGGGGGAGATATTTGAATTTAACTGGGCACGGACATTGAGTTTGAACTGTCGGTGTCAGACTTAACCCTCGCCCGTAAACGGCGATCTGCCACCTTCGCCCATGCAGGGGGGGGGTTGGTGCGACCCCCCCCTTGGCGTTTGAAAACGGAGCGTCGTAGAGCTTAGCGGAAAAGACCAACGGATTGCTCTCGCCGAGATCTCGCGATTGGTGGTATATTTTTTGGTCCTCGGTCAACATTTGACCTACTTTTGACCGGTCAAAGGTCAAATTTTCGGAAAAATAGACTTTTTTCAACTTTCCGCGGCGATTGCGGCAAAACGGTGGGAGATATCGACTTGAAATCTTCACTATCGTGTTCCTTGATCAATTCACTATCGTTTGGTATGTATTTCGTTTCCCTAGCTCTAAAAATGGCGCGTTGGGAGCGCCGGAAGTCTGCAAGGTCACAGTCGGCGGCAGAAATTCGAAAAATCAAAATTTAAATTTTTGAAATCTGATTGTATTTTTGGATTTGGAAGGTCCATTTGCTCCCTATAGAAGCTAATATGGCTGCATATTCCCATTGAGGTGACAAGAATTAGCAAAATAGTGGTTCGGGCGATTTTCAAAAATAGTACCGGACGCTGTTCCTCTTGTGACGTCATAGCTCCGTGACCTGACCTGACCCGGTCAAGTTTCTTATACCATATGATAGCCAATACTTGCCCCAACATGCATGGGAAGTTTCATCACGATCCATCAACCGATGTCCGTACCACCGGCAGGAAACTTCGGGCGTTGGCACTCAGTTTGTGAAAATCCGGCCGGAGGCTGTTCCCTTTGTGACGTCATAACTCCGTGACCTGACATGACCCGGTCAATTTTTTTTTATCAAAAGATGCGCAAGGTTTGCCCCATAAGGTACCCAAAATTTGGCGGCGCTGCGCGCCGCCGTTTTTGCACTATTTCCGAAAAACCTCAGGGGGGGGGGGGTTGCACCAACCCCCCCCCTACATGGGCGAGGGTTAACTATGTAGATTGGTTTCTGCAGTCTTCACATAAAACTGCAACAAGATATATCATTTTCAATCAGTTTCATTTCTGGAAGGTGCAAGCGGTTTCAAAGCCACTAATGACCATGTTTCTGGATTACATCGAGTCGGATAAAGGAAATTCCACTCTTGATATCTGACATGTCTAAAATATTATACCCGTACACAGTTTCAACCACTTAATACCCTCTCGCCCAATTTGAAGTAACACCATGGCACTAACGCCCATCCTACAACAGAATAGAAAAAAGGTCACAAATAAAACCTGTAAGTGAAATAGCCCAAATAGCTACCAGGCTTTAGGATCCAAAAAGACTGTTATCTCTGCCAGACTAACTCGCTGTCATAAACCACAGAGTGACGGTGGTCCGCCTCACCTTAGCAGAAAGATAATATCTATGGCTGGAACATCACTGGCCATTGGAAATAAAAGACAACTTCGAGGAATGTCAGGGACAGTCATTAAGGACAGAGGCTCTGAGCTAAGACGTTCTCGTTACCTCATCGCAACAAACATGGAGATTTAGCACAACTAAGTATAAACTCAGTTCTTAGGAAACCTACAAGTCACTGCAAGTGGGCAGCTACCATAAGCATTATCGAGACATTTTTCTAGATTTAAGTCCTTTTTTAAATGCTTGGTCCTACTTGTGATAGAGTAAAAAGTTGATTTTTTTGCTTAAACAGCCTTATAAAAAAAGTCAAAATGAGAGAAAATGCATGCCAAAAATATTTACCTGGCGGGGTGCAAATCGGTCCACAGCCGTCCGCCTCGCAGCACTTGCTGTCGCTCGGACAGTCGTCGTCTCCATAACACTTGTTCCCGCAGCCTCTGCTCCTCAGCTTGGCAAGGAACGCCTTGTTCGGACAGGAGCCAGACTTCTCTGAAATGGTCGGTCAAGTTGGTTTAATGAGTTTTGGGCGTGTTAATCGCGCGGTTACTGTGTTCAGTGACGATTCCGCAAGGCATGATTCTGGTCCGACATACATAGATGAAGGGTGAAGTAGCTTGTTTGGATTTTCCAAGGATTATAGCAAACGTATCCCGACTCTTCATATAATTGGGTGGTGATATGAAACAGGAACAACAATTATCTAATACCAGTAAAACGCCTTTTGGGCGAAGAACGAGCGAGCGAGATAGTAAGCCCTCCACGTGCGGAAGGGCGAGAGGATACTTCCAACGGGCTTAAGCAAAGCACCCTTTTAACCGGTCGCTAGCAGTGTGCCAAATTTGAACGCAATCGGCCCAGCCGTTCCTGAGATCTGGAAACAGCATTCTGCACGTGCGCACGTGCAAACGGGGTCCAAATTGACTTTCGCACGGCACCCTACTAACCGGTCCCCAACCGTGTACCAAATTTGAGCGCAATCGGCCCAGCCGTTCTCGAGATCTGGAAGCGCCCCCTGAACGTGCGCACGTGCAGTAGCACCCCGACCGCAACACATGGGATTGGGAATGCATTGCCTGGTGGGTGCCTACCTGTATGCCAAGTTTCAGCGAAATCGCCCCAGTAATTACCGAGTTATAGAAATGGGAACAAATTTGGCACCTCTTCTTTTTGTATTTTGCACGTGCAGTGGGGGTCACTCACATAGATCAAGAGTATCCGAAATTTGGTAGAAGGGATGCAGCTACCCTATAAAAATTACCGCAAGACAATCGCTCAAGCCGCTGCTGAGATATGGGCCTCTCAAAATCATTACTTTTGCAAAACTGCTTGAACACCCTTGACTTTTCACGTGGCACGTGCCACGACGGTCACTGAGATGTATCAAAAGTAGTCAATTACGGGGTAGAAGGGATTTGACTACTTTTGAGCAAAAAAACTTAACTTAACTAAAAAACTTTACATTACCTAGCAAAAAAAGACCGCAGGCCAATCGGTCCAGCGGTTGCTAAGCCTCTCAAAAGCGTTACAGGCCGGGCCGGGCCAGGCCGCTCAACTGAGATTTTTCCGTTATATTGAAAAGACTCGCTTCGCTCGCTGCGCTCGCTCGCTCGTAATTACACTCGTGTTTGAATCAGTTAAGAACTGCAGAATCGTGCTGGGCTGGTTGGCTGTGAATGAAGCTGATTCCTGACGTGAAGTTGAAGCTTGAGTGTAAATACTGATAAAATTAATCTTGTTATCGGTCAACAGCAAACCACTTATTTAACAATGTCCCATAAAATACGATAAAAATGATACCTCTACTGTTGCTTTTCATCGGGCAGTCGATCATACTAAGACACATTGTAAATACCCAAAAGTAAAATTAGTATGACTATGCTTTTGGTAATTAAATGTCGACAGAAGTATGAACTTTAGGTTGCATTGCGATTCTCCGAAGCAAGCGATTGCGCTCCCTGGCATTAATTAGCATCCGGCCCTGTCACATTGACAAATAACCGAAATATTTGCATTACTACCAACAAGCTCTTTCTAACAAACAATTAAAAGCATCTTGCTAGGAGATGTAAAACGTCGAAACAACTTGTGAAAATGTCTATTTGTCGTACCCTTCCTGAAAAGTAATTGCTAAAAGTACATAACCCCAAATATTTGTGTGTGATTATACGGCAAAGCATATGATAATCGACCGCCGGCTTTCAGTTGCAAATTCTATCAAATGAATTCCTTTCGTAAATCTCATCAAGCCACCCACTCCCCGCTATACCTCGACACACTCTCCCCATCTACCCTGCCTCCTCCAACTAACCTTTTGCGCAGATGTTGGTCTCGCACTCCACCTTGCCGTCAATACAGGTGCACCTGTTACACTTGTTGTAGAAGCTGGTGCCGTTGGGACAGAGGGCTTCGTCTGAGGGCGCGCTGCACGTGCGGCCACAGCCGTTCGAGCAGCACTTCTGGTCGGAGGGGCAGTCGTGATCGAGCGAGCACTGGACGGCGCAGCTGGCGCCCCGCAGCTGAGGAGCGGGGCACGACCCGGGCTTGGCCACGTCTGGGGACGAGAGGGATAAATGCTGAAGAGAATGCGTCTGCATTATTCGGTGGTTTACTCAGTAGTTCCGTATCTAGTTCCACACATCATATTTACGCAGACTGATCTTTGGCCGTGGAGAGTGGCTTCGTCTAACTGCCCACTATCTGAAAAGTTAGATGATAAATTTTGGGGCAATAGCATTTTGGATAGACTAAAAACCAGCCCATTTTTAAGAAAAAACGAAGCAAAAAATGATTATTATATCAACGAATGATGTAACAGATCATCTAATAGCTAAAGCAACTATGATAATCCTATAATTGTATACGTGCACTGCGCACAAGAAACATCCGTAACCCAGGGTCGTTCGCATACCAACATCATAATTCATATCGTTATATTAACAGCACGCATCACAAGTCAATACAGGAATAGTCTCACTTCTCAGCAACCGCACCTTGTGGTTATGCTATTCCGCACAACACTGAATTCTGCGGCTCGTGTGCGGGATGGATGCCGGCGAACATTCAAACTGCAAAGCTAATCCCTGTTTTACTGTCGGCATGATAATATGCAGGCTTGGTTATTGGTATGATGTGATTCATACGCTAAAATGTGATCCACCGTCACTTGGTGATATTGCTAAGCTGGTATTGCTAAGTTCGAAATCTTTTATCCTTTTGTATTCTATGATCACTTCGTCTTTTTTCTAGAAAAGAAGAATATCGCAGTCTCAGTATTCAACACTCACAGGGAGAGGAGCAGACGGCGCCACAGCCGGTGTCGCAGCACTTGCTGTCCCCGGGACACTCCCCGTCTTGGGAGCACACGGTAACACAGGGGCCGAACGAGAGCCGCGCCGGACACAGGCCCCGCTTCTCCACCCGCTCCTCTGAAACAAGAGAGGAAGGAAAGCCAGTGGGATGGCGCTGATGAAAACAATGAACGATTGTACTTATGCTTGGAACATAACGAATGCTGAAAAATACGAAGCAATTACAAATGTCATATGGCGTGTTGACTTTCAGCGGTCATTTTGCAGACAAATAGTGGAAAATACTTTTTGCAGCTTGAGTGAAACGTCTGGGTTTTGAGTAAATTCAAGCAAAGCTGTGGAACTTCGTGTAGCATAATTATGTCTCAATTAGTTATCAGCATTGTCCTCGGTAGTGCGGTATGCTGATCTCCCTATAGCAGCCACAACTTCCTGTGGCCTGCGCTCTAAAGAGTCACTCGTAGTGCGCCTAAAAATTGATGACCGAGCTAGCAGTCCTAAGACGCACGATCACAATTTCAACAGCGACAAATTACGGACATCTTAGCCCGGATGTGCTAATGGAGAGGCTATGGACTTCAAGATGAAGAGTTCCTCAGAACGCTGTTATATGAAGGTCGACCTCTCACCGCTCGGAGACGGGAACAGCACAAAAGTCAAGGCTCAAATCGTGAGTTATAGCCCATGATTCGTCAGTGTTTTGCATTCTCGTGAGGAGACGTTCCTGTGTCGGAGCCATGCAAAGTCAGCCATCAATAAAGCCCTTCGTGAAGTGGCTTTCCCTGATCTTCACGGCTAACTGGTCGTGAGACAACGCGACCTTCATAAAGATAGCCTTCACGAGTGTCCAGAGGGACCGTGACGGATGAGGACCGGCTGAAGAACTGTGACGTGGGAATATTATTAAAAAAGCAAGTAGGTGCGTCGCGTTTTTTGTCTGGCAAAAATAGAAACGAACACCCGCATAATGAATAGCCTTTTTTCGTATTTTTCGTATATTTCGTATTTTCGTACATCGCATATTTTAGTTGTTTCTCTCGAAGCTGTCAGATAACAAATCGCTTCTAGCAATTCGAGACCATCACACGTTATTGATCGTGCTATCCATCCCTGACTTGTGGTTGCCCTTGCTTCATTTCACTCATGAACAAATCAAGGTTCCCTCAGTTTATATTTTTATTACCAAACAGCCTAAAAACCAGTATAACGCCTTTTGGGGCGACTAACAGAGCGAGCGAGAGGGTGAGCCTTGCACGTGCGAAATTTCGAGGGGGTACCTCCAGCTGACTTGTGCACGGCACCCTACTAACCGGTCTCTAGCGATGTGCCAAATTTGAGCACAATCGGCCCAGCCGTTCTCGAGATCTGGAAGCGGCACCCTGCACGTGCGCACGTGCAAAATGGGTCCCAACTGACTTTTGCACGGCACCCTACTAACCGGTCCCTAACCATGTGCCAAATTTGAGCGCCATCAGTCCAGCCGTTCTCGAGATCTGGAATCGACCCCTGCACGTGCGCACGTGCAGCAGCACCCCAACTCTGGCACATGGATATGCATTGCCTAGTGGTGCCTACCTACATGCCAACTTTCAGCGCAATCGGCCAAGTAGTTACCGAGATATTGCAACAATTGCAAAAGTGACATCTCTTCGTTTTGCACGTGGCACGTGCATAAAGGGTCACCCACATGCATCGGGAATAGTCCAATACTTGGTAGAAGGAATGAAGCTACCCTACAAAAACTACCGCATGTAAATCGGTCAAGTGGTTGCTGAGATATAAGCGTCGCAGAATCGTGACCACGGCCGGCCGGCCGGCCGGCCGGCCGCTCATACTCAGAAATTTCCGTTATTCTACGTACCAGTATAACGCCTTTTGGGGCGACTAACGGAGCGAGCGAGAGGGTGGGCCTTGCACGTGCGAAATTGCGAGGAGGTACTTCCAACTGACTTGTGCACGGCACCCTACTAACCGGTCTCTAGCGACGTGCCAAATTTGGGCACAATCGGCCCAGCCGTTCTCGAGATCTGGAAGCGGCACCCTGCACGTGCGCACGTGCAAAATGGGTCCCAACTAACTTGTGCACGGCACCCTACTAACCGGTCCCTAACTGTGTACTAAATTTGAGCGCAATCGGTCGAGCCGTTCTCGAGATCTGGAAACGACCCCTGCACGTGCGCACGTGCAGCAGCACCCCAACTCTGGCACATGGATATGCAGTGCCTAGTGGGTGCCTACCTACATGCCAACTTTCAGCGCAATCGGCCAAGTAGTTACCGAGATATTGCAACAATTACAAAACGGACACCTCTTCGTTTTGCACGTGGCACGTGCATAAGGGGTCACCCACATGCATCGGGAATAGTCCAATACTTGGTAGAAGGAATGAAGCTACCCTACAAAAATTACCGCGTGTAAATCGGTCAAGTGGTTGCTGAGATATGAGCCTCGCAGAAGCGTGACCACGGCCGGCCGGCCGCTCATACTCAGAAATTTCCGTTAATCTAAGGAAAGACTACGCTCGCTTCGCTCGCTCCGTAAAGACTCCGCTCGCTTCGCTCGCTCCGTAATTATGGAATGCAGAGCAACAATCACTCAAAAACACTGATGTGAATGAACAAAACCCACATCTTTTGATAATGTTTCAAAGGTTCAAAGGCTCGTCTCCTTTAGCTGAAACCATGAGCCGCGATCGGATCATTCGACTCTCGGCGTTATTTTACACACGATGGAGTAACTATGGCACCTTACTGGATCGGATGAGACTGTAAGATTCATTAGAACGGCGAGGCCCACAGCCATACACACATCGGCGCCGCAAACGCCCGTACGTACTCGGCGGCGGCATCGTGCGAACCCATGACTCATATGAAACACCCAGTGACACCTAGCGGTCGGCCAGACATTGCACTGACGTGGAAGTGACTACAGGCGGCGGCGCCCCACGAACTGCACCCTTCCCTTTGCTGACAAACCATCACAGAGGGAACATCTTTGTGCTGCCTGCCGACGATTGCAGATTGCCACTAGGCGCAAATAAGGTGGGTCGTATCCTGCATTTCCGCTGACGCCCTACTGGCCGCCATGACCGACTGGCCCTAGGACAGGGTTGCGCGTCGGCAATTATTGTTCAGGCCAGAGCTCTCCAACGGCCGACAGTATCACCGACCGTATACGCAGTTATGCTCGTGCCCCATTTCAGGGAGATACGATTTATGCTGCCACCAGACTGCTAGCCTCGCATCTTGTTGTGTTCATAGACCTGTCCACGTGCATGACCTAATGTCTCTGTGCACCCAAGGCCAAGCCACCCTGACGCCATCTTGGCGGGAGCGACCAGCAATCGTGTGACCTCTGCCCAGCGATCGCGTGATCGTGACGTCAGTGGTAGGTGTGGACACCTCCAGCGCTGGTGGCGCCGCGGCGGCAGCGACAGCAACTGCTGGTAGCCACGTGGCCGCCAGCGGCGCAGGCGCGGGCGTGTCACGTAACCGTCACTGCGCTGTGAGGCGGCCCGGGTGACTCATCCGCCGTGACGTCAGCTGACCGTGACCGTGGCGTAGCGGCCTTTGGCCTGGCGCCCGGACCGCAGGTCCGCAGCTGATCGGGGGTCGTCTTGCACCGGGTCTGCAGCGGGCCATCTGGGCTGGAGTCAGGTCACTGCTGGCCGTATGCCGCTCTGTGGGTGCTAGAATGACTGCATGCTGCATTGCCGCCACGAGCATGTCCACTGACCGTCACACCTACACCGGAGTCGCAGTGTCGCACTCCCACTGAACTCATCTGTCCGCTGGCAGTGTGTATGGTACTGAGAAGCCTGTCCATCGACGCAGCCTGTATTAAGTCCTGGCGCTGACTGACCGGCGCGACTCACCGGCCGGTTGCGATCGGCCACCGTGTGCCCGAGGCGCCGGACGTGCACAGCGGTCAGCGTCCACGCAGGGACGCGGCAGGGGTGTGCACAGATGTCAGTGCACACAGACAGGCCGCCAGCCGGCACCAAGTCCCTACACTGCCCTTCCCGAAGAAAATGAGCCATTGCGCCGCACACCAACACATAACTATGAAAAAAATCAGTTTGTTTCCGCAATCGGCCCAACCGGCGATCACCAGCTTCGCTAGCACCCGACTCCGCCGGTACGGACGTTAACTGCTTCGCAGCCGTCAGCCCGCCGCTATCGGGGGGCACCGCCACTTCGAGACAATCATCGCCTGATGGCGCAGGCGCCTTCGCTAATGGCACCTGCGTGCCCAGTCACAGAAGTTTCCACCGGCAGCCGCCGTGCGGCAGGATCCAGTCCGGGTAAGCAGGTCGGCGGTCGCTGGGAGGCGGAGCTCGACATCCTGAGCAGAGGCGCGTGCAGCTGGGTCGGCGGCGTCGGCTCCTCTGCAGCCACACTCCTGGTTCGGCCACGGTCTCGGCTGCACCAGCAGTCATCGCAGGAGGTTCTGTAACCGTGTTTCCGTTTAGTCTACGTCTCAACTGATCAGTATGCCGTCGCCATATCCTGCCGTCCTCTAGCTCGATCGCGTACGATACTGGCCCGTCGACACCAACGACCACTCCAGCAGCCCATGGCGACCCAACACCGTAGTTTCTGAAAAAAAAAACACGAGATATGACACACCAAATCTTCTTTCAGATCTTACCTTCCTGTCATGAATTCCTTCTGTTTCACCCGATGCTCAGTCACTCCCTTCCGCATGTCCGGGTGAAGGAGATCCAGCCGGCTCCGGATGCTGCGTCCAACCATGAGCTCTGAGGGATAAACTGAGGTCGTGCTGTGAGGTGTGATATTCTGACAGCGCAGCCAACGAGACAAAGCATCTTCCCAGTTGTCGTCAGACCTCTGCTAGGCAAGCTTGACATCACGCACAGCATGCTCAGCCAGTCCGTTGCCTTGGCTGTGGCGGGGTACTTTCGTCCTGTGATGTCTGCCATTTCCCTGCATAAAACATTGAAACTCGGATGAGGTGAATGATGTGGCGTTGTCAGTCACAACCGTGTCTGGTAATCCCCATCGGGAACACATTTCCCAGCCTAGTAATCGTCGACTTGGAGCTGACAGTGGTGCAGCACTCTGCCTCAATCCACTTAGAATCAGCGTCTACCACGC